ATAATTATCCTGCAATTAAAAACAAAGTATGTCTGTTACAATTGACCCCGTAAGTGGGGACAATTGTAACAAGTGCACGACTGTCAAAAATTTTTAATAACTAATATAATAGTATTTAAAATCAGGTATTTATTTTTTTTCTAGTAGAGGATAGTCTACTTTTCTCGTTTGTCAATTAATACAAATAATATATTGGATTTTTTGCTAGTTAAAAATAGTTAAGTAAAAAATGTTACAATTGACCCCACTCTCCCCTATACGTTTAAAAAGGATTGTTTTTTTTCTTCACGTTTTCATGAGCATATTGCAGATGTTTTTTCGTTCCGTCATATGAACTTCTTCGAATTTATGAGGAACCCAAATTTCTAGCTTTCTTACGCATCCCAGTTTCTTTGGGTGGACGTAGGGAATTTTTTGACTGATCTTCAATGCAATCTTGTGCCGTGTAAACGTAGGCTTGACTAGATCAATATCGTTATTTTGCTATAAATGCAGGTAGCTAGGCCTTCCTGCTCGGAATGTTGTTGAACTAGTTTTGGCATTGGTTGTAGAGCAGGGGTTTCCAACTTACATGACGGTCTTGCGGTCTCTTTTCCGCTCATGCGATATTCAATTCAAGGAATTTAGATAAAACATGACATTCATTCCCTCTTTTATGCACTTTAAAATATACAAGTGTAAATAATTTCGTCCAAAATGAGTGGTTTCAAAAAGCTAAATTGGAGAATTTCTGATATGCTAAATTATATTCACACAATAAAAAAAAAAAGAAATAAAAGAAGAGAGCAACATACACGATTATTTTTGTATTTGAATAAATATTTTCTTGGATGCAAAACCTGAGAAATAAATTTTTTTACACCGTTGGTATGTTAAATTTCACAGATGACAAAAAAATTAGTTTTTTTTTCTTCTTTTTTTTAACGTGAAAAGCATTTTAAGCCCTTATAGATTTCTTACGAAAATTGTCCGCTTTGAAAACTAATATATTTTAGTTCGCGGGCCGCCAGTTGGAAACCCCTGTTGTAGAGCATCATCATCTTAAACTTTACCTCAATTTTGCTTGATTCGCGTTGTTTTCCTTCTACGGAAGTAAAATATGGCGAAATGAACACTTTATCTCCCATGTTGTACTGTCAAATCTCAAAAACTTTGTAAAGTAGATCAATTTTTTTTTTTACAATGAAGCCTTAAACTGTCAAAACTATTTTTGACGTTAAAACTATTGTTGAAAGTGCTTCAAGTATTGCACTGCCATCTGCTGCAACAAATAAATAAAATAAAATAAATGTAATACTTTTTTTTCTTAACCCAATCGATTCTCTACGATAGGGACTTCTATCCATTCCTCTAGCTCTAAACAGGTTGTTATTGAAGGCCATTAAGACAAGGGGTGCGATGGTTCTTGTAATCTCGTGGCGCCATCTAAGGCCAAGAATTCGATTTCTGCCACACCCATTCATCCACAGATCGTACTTTTGACATGAACCAAATAACGATCAATCTCCAATTCTGCCAAAGAGGTATGATTTATTCTGGGAACATAGAGGACTTAGTGACCCAACAGATTTAGAGTACACCAGTCACCATTTACTTCACGAGGAGTATTCGGCCGACTGGATTCGAACTTCCGTTCTCACAAATGTGAGTCCAGCGCCTTGCCAACCAGGATATCCCGGCCCTCTAAGCAGGTATCGAGGTAGTTTAAGTATTAATCAAATTTTGTTACTAATGTTCAACTCCGGAGCCTTGTAATTTTGATCCTGATCCAGAAGACCAGAGAACTCCTGGATCAAGCATTATGAGAAACTTGCCTTTGTGGAGGACTTTTTGATGGAGCTAACCCACATTTGCTTTACAACGAGCTGAAAACCACGAACCTCCCACGGTTAGCCCAACGACAGGGGGACTCTAATCTATGATCCGTCTACCACTGAGTATGTTTTACCTCTGCATGGACTAAATTTAGGCTGAACTTTATCCAACAGCCATTAATAACTGTTAAAAACCTACAGCAGCAATGAAAACAGCTTATTCTTAAAAAAACTTTATTTTATCTGGCCATAGAGCATCCAATAAACAGCCTTCACAAGATTTTTGAAGCTCTTTCGCCGAGCAAAAAAAGGTACAATTTAAGCACATTACACTTGAAGCAATACTATTATTTTAAACTGTACATGCCCTCTTGCTGTAAATAATTATCTGGGCTTTAGAACGGAAGAATAAGTAAAATATTTTAAGCCTGTTTTTCGAAGTCGCCGTCGTCATATGAAATTATGCTTTTTTGTGAATATTTATGCTATTTTCATAACTGCTGAAAGTTTGCAACGGTAATTCATGGCTGTTAGGTCAAGTTTAGCCTATCTAAGGTATATTCTTATTATGAAAATGGCGCAAAACATCCATATAAATAAAAGTCACAGTTTTGTGAAAATGAATAGCGTTTGTGGTCTTTTTTTAATATTTAAAAACTTACTCCAATGCTGTATTATGTCGGCTCATAAACATTTGTAAAAAAAATGAGAATAAAGCAGTTGTTTTGGTAATTTGCATCTAGGTGGAAAAATGTAGCCAAATTGGCGATTTTTTTAAAAAAACTTAAATATATTTCAAAATACTTCAGTTTATTCGTCAGTTCTAAACCCAGATAATACTTCACAATAAGATGACATACATAGTTTAAAAGCAACATTTTGCTTCAAGCGTGAGGCACTAGCGTTTTGATTTTCCTTGACGACAGAGCTTCAAAAAACCATGTTAAAAGTTATTAAACTTTTTTTAAAAAAATCGCCAATTTGACATTTTCCCACCTAGTTGGAAATTATAAAAATCAATGCCTTATTTTCTGTCTTTGAACATTTTTATAAGCTCAGATATTGCTGCATTGGAGTAGGTTTTTAAATATTACAAAAATTAGACCACAAACTCTTTTCATTTTCTCAAAACTGTGACTTATTCTAATATTGCTATTTCCAGAATACACATTGTTTGGTGTTGAATCAGCGTTTGGCGAGATAGTATTGCGCCAGCCATCTTTCTTCCTAATGTAACCTTTTACACTACTCAGTCTTGTTCTTGTTGATTGAATTGTTAACAGCGTATGGTCGCTCTCTAATGCAAGTTCATGCGTGAACTAATTAATTACATTTGTTAAATAAATATTTGTTAATTATTATGCAGTCCACATTACCTTCAATTTTAACTATTGAGCTATCACGGGACCGTACACACATTGAGAGCAGGCGAAACTTGACCTAATAGTCTTATGTAACTGTTGCAAACTGACATCAGTTATGAAAATAGCATAATTATTCGCAGGAAAGCATAATTTCATGAGACTACTGAGCCTTCGAAAAGTATTCTTTTTTAATCGAAGTATACGTCTAACTTTTATTCCCAGATAGCAAAGTAAGGTTTATTTTCACTCATCAAAAACCTTTCAATGTAAACCTAAAAAGGTTTGTTATGCGGTTTACGTGTAAACCTGCTGAAATTAAAACGATGTGCTCTATTCTACGCACATTACTTTAATCCAAAACCTTGGAAAACAACCTTCTACATAAAAACCTTAAATCAAGGTTGACTTAGGATTTTCAAGAGTGAAAAAAATCCTTTAATAAAGCTAGTCTCAATGCGAAAATAATCTTAAATCTAGGTAATTATAAGGTTTCTTTTCTCAACGTCTTGTATGCTCAGCTAAAATCCACCTTGTTTNATTTTTTGAAAAAAATTCATGTTTATTAATTACTTTCTACAGCTATGTAAGTCTATAATAAGACAGCATTAAATGTTTACTTTAATCTGTATTTTCAATCTGAAGAATCAAAAGACTTTTAAAAATGTAAATTCAAATGTGTTGGAATTTAACACACACCAAGACAGAAAGTAATTTCATTAACTAAAATTAATTAATGCAGCAACTTATTTAAATTAAATTTTAATGCTAAGAAAAGAAAATAATAAAAGTATCAAAAATTTAAAACACTGTTTTTTAACTTTTAAAATCAATATATATAGGTAAAAAAAATTAGTTGATTTAAATCAATGATTTTTTTTAAAAAAATTATTTGATTTAAATCATGATTTAAATCGTGATTTAAATCAACGAACCCTGGTCTCAAGGTGAAAATAATCTTAAATCAAGGTCATTATAAGGTTTCTTTTCTCAACGTCTTGTATGCTCAGCTAAAATACACCTTGTCTTGAAATTTTTAATGGACTGTGCAATTTGATCCTATCGCCAGTGTAACGTCAGCTAAACCGTCATTACGAACCTAAGTGACGATACTTTTTGAAAAAGCTTTAAAAAAAAAGTAATTTTTAATCCTTTTAGGATGAAAGGTTTGAAACTACAATATTTTTGCTTTATTGAAAAAAGGTTTTCAGTACAAACATTTTCGTGACAATTAAAAGAAAATACTGATACAAGGTTGCCATAAGGTTACATGCTTTCTGGGTATCAATCATTCCTTGTAAAAATATAGTTAAAAACTTTCACGCTATTATTACAAATCCAAAAGAACAAACAATGCAGCACAAGTAAGACTACGCGACGTACTGGAAATGCATTATTTTTAACGTTTAAGTTCTTTGTTCGATTTTTTTTCGAACGAAAATATTGATCATAAGTGAGCGGTTTACTTAGTTTCCGGAATGCAAAATGTTCCAAAAGTAAATATTGCTTTAAGGACTCCGGAATATCCAATTCATCCACTCCATGGGGTAATTGGAAGCATTCTTTCAACTTTTGTCTGACGGCGCACTTGCAGATGTGCTTCAAGGAGGGAGGAGGACGTATTCCTGAGATCCCAAGATCCTTGATGTGTCTGGTGTACCAGGCCCAGGCTTTCACTAATTTGGGCATACCTTGTTTTTTCACATCCTTAAAGCAACGTGCGAATTCTTGAATGGTCAGGAAAGGATCGGGAATCGAACTCCATAGAACTTGCAATGCGGCTTCGTAAGCAGCAGATGAAGAATCGTTTTCGACGCCTTGAGCTGCTACGTAGAGATAAAGAATCTGGCAGCATCGGAAATTCCTGGGATTGGCGAGCACCTTCAAGTTGTGCAGACGATTCGAATATGCATCTCCATTTCTAAAATGACAACAAAAAAAAAATAGTTAGAGCATCATAAAAAACGTACAATAATTTTTGAAATATGTGTTAAATTCCTGCGTTTCTAAACGGCGCAATTAAAAAAAAAAATATGAACTGTTTACACTGCATGCGAAAAATTTGGATATGCGAATGAGAACCTAATTGGTGGAAGATATTTACCCGAGAAAGAATCGCCAATCAGGTTCTCGCTTGCATCTAAATCCCCTTAATTGGGACTTTTCTACATACCGGGAAGCGATTTTCCGATTCAGGGGATTTTAACGACCCGCTCTCCAGACAGGCATTTTTTTAAATGAAAATAAATTATGATTTGTGACTTCTTCTTTTTTTAAAGTTCAGGTAACAAATTTTAAAAGAATTAAAAGCTTGAATTATAATTGCGACCAACTACAGCCAGGAGGAAAAATCTCCAAAAAATGAGAGCCAGTCGTTAAAGGAAATTGGATTTTAAATTAACGACCTGGAAAATGAACAGAAAATAATCAAGAGGTCAGTAAATCATCTCCCAATTAGGGTTACACCAAAAACGGGGAAAGACTGAATATCCATTTAATTTATTTGAAATTTAAAAAAAATAATTGAATAAAGAGTTAATTTTGTTTTTTTGTAATATAGAAATTCTTATAAAACCAAAACAGAAGCCGAGTGATCTGGAAATTAAAGAACGTAAATGGTAATGGATAGCTCACGTTCTAGGCAGAAAGAAAAAAAAATGCATTACTTACTTTCTATTGATAAACTTAATAAGAGCAAAATCAAGACACAAAATTTAGAATTTTTATTGTCAATATTTTTCTCTCTGTGAATATTTTATTTCTTATTAAATAAGTCATACACGTCAAAAATTATTAGTCAAGTTATATTAACATTTTATTTTCCTTCAGACATTTGATAATTGTCAAATTATATATATAATGAGGGTAAGTAACTATGAAACACCCTGTATGTATAAATATAGAAGGTGTTCTTTAACGACTGCTCTAAATATATATTTATCGAATCCTTCTGAAAAATGAAATGAAAAAGTAAACACAATAGAGGTAGTAAATTGGTATTTAAACTACGTTGAAACAAAATCCTGTTGAATCACTGCAGAGGAAAATGATATTAAAAAAGATATCAAAATCAGTTTGATTGCCTGATGCAATAACTCTCAATTTTCTCAGAGAATCATCAAACAGGTTTTTAATCATTTCGTCTACCTCAGTAGTGATTCATTAAGTAAGGATTATGTTTTTTCCCCTTAGATATTTATTGGTAGCCCCTAATATAATTTTTTTTTTAATTTTAAAAAATACCAGGTTTACTGAAATTAATTTCAGAAAAAAAAATCCCTGGCTTTTTTAGGCATTTCAGGAAAATTTCAATGTAAATCCAGATCAAAATGTATCTATAACATGCCATTTTTCATCAGAAAAAACTATATTTTTATTTCTAATGTCAAATATTCGATTTTGTAAGTAAAAAAATATCGTTGAATGAGGATGGAAACATGGAAAGGTTTCACTGAAACGTGGAATTTTTAAAACAAATAATTGTAATTGATGTTAGAATTATTTACATCGAATCTCAGTAACTGATAACTGTTACTGACAATTCTCAAAACCTGGAAAATTCCCCACTTTTTAAAGTCAAAATAAAATCCCCTAATAATTCCAGGTTTTCCTGTACTCCCTGACCCATGGGTGCACTGAATGTATATTAAGGATGATCATTTATGAACATTCTGTGTATTCATGCCATAGTTTTTTTTTTGGGGGGGGGAATGCTGTTCCCCGAAATATCTGGTTTGCTGTAGTGAAAAAATTTTAAATATTTGGAGAAAAAAAATCAAACCAATTTTTTCCCTTTTCCATTCTTTCTTTTTTTTTTAAATTATCTATTATTATTATTTTTACGAAGTGAAACAAGAATTCCTAGTCAGTTCTGGGAAAAAATTTTATTTCTCCGACAAAAGTGCCAATTGTACTAATCATATTCAAAAGCGCAAGTGAGCTTTCAAATCTGATTGGTGCAATTTCTGGGCTTGTCTATAAACAGACGCAATGATAATCTAAGAATAATCCTGTTAAAAAATAAGTAATTTCTTAAATGTTTATAATGCTTAAAATTTTTGACCTAGCTGAAAAGCTAAATAATCAAATATTTAATTTGCATTTACGATTATTTAATGAGAACAAAATCTTAATATAAAGTTGCTTTAAGTTAATATCGTGTGGATTGTAAAATGTTGAATATTAAATGAGATTATCTTTCTTCATAGCTCCGTTTTACATATTTTATAATCTGGTAGGCAAGGAAACCAATCTAAGAGTAAATAATTATGTTCAAGCAATAAAGAAATAGGGGATCATGGAGTTCACTCATTTGAATAAAAACAATTTAAAGTAACAGAAGTTATTACAATTGTGAATTTCTCTTACAGTTAAAACTCTTAACAAAACAAATCTGTATCTTTTTTGTGCATTTATATATTTTCTACCATCTAGTTATCGAGGCAATGTCTTTAACAAAGAAGTAGAGCATAGTACTTTTCAAGTGATAATAAAGAATTATGTGTATAATAGCAATTTGTATAGTTTATTATATTATACAATTTATATTATACAATTATTTTATCAATAGCTTTTATGACGAATACACCAAAGATGAAAATAATACGAATTGGTAAAAAAAAAATATTTTTTTAAAAAATAAATATCTGCTTTTTTTTAATTAAAGCTGACGAAGTAAATTAAATGATTCGTTTTTTTTTTTTTTTTTNTTTTTTTTTTTTTTTTTTTTTTTTGGACTAACAAAAATCAGTCAACTATGAAATACAGTCCCTGGCCAAATTATTAGACGCACTAAAGATTCTGTGCAAAATCTTAATTACAATGTAATATTTTACAGCCTTATTGTTTTCATGCGACTGAAACCGGTTAGCACTTGTTTATGTTCGTGTATCAAATGGTCAATATTGTAACGCAATCCGTTAAAAATAAATACAAATAGGAAGTATTTAAATTATCTCCTGAATAAAAACCCACTACATATATGTTTAAATATAAAAGTATTGCCTATAAACTCGTGCAAAACATGTCATTATTAAAAAACTGCAGTGCGTCCAATAATTTAGTCTTATTATTATAATATACTCATATAATATCGGATATAATAAATATTCTATATTTATATAATATATCGTCTAATTTATCCAATCGTCGAATTTATATTATATATAGTCTAATTTAACCAATTGATACACGAACGTAAACAAGTGCAAACCGGTTTCAGACTCGTAAGTATCCCCTGATAATTAATGCGTCTCCTAGAGATGAACACACTAAAAGATAAGTAGCACATGTTTACAGTATTCGCTTATCGGCCGACCTAGGGAGGGGACACTTCCTTCCCGCTCAATGACCTTCAAGGTCAGGATCGACAACAACAACCCCCTCCCCCCATAATACCCCATTTCACTAAAATATATAAAGATGTAACATCACGTCCAGTGCAAACAGGTAAATGGATTCACCCCACTTTTTTTTAATAAAAAGCTTTAAAAAAAACTTTTTTTCTCATGAAACTTTTTCGTACGATTTATTTTATAACAGTCGTTGAACACCCGACACAATTTTGAGTTCACAACTACTAATGTTCAACTCCGTAGCCTTGTTATTTTGAACCTATTCCAGAAGACTCCTGGATCAAGTATTGGAAGATAGTTGTCTTCGCGGAGGACTTTATGATGAAACTAGACTGCATTTGCGTTACATGGATAGGTAAACCACGAAAACTTCCCACGGTTAGCCCGACGGCAATGAGATTCCAACCCATGATAGGTCTACCACTGAGGATATTTTACGTCAGCACTGTGGTCGGGTGCGGAATTCGTTTTGAACCTGAATCACCTCATTGGGGGGCGAAAGCTCTATCCCCTGATACATCACGGTTTGCTTACTTTCTACCACAGTGTTTTTGTTTCATATTAGAATTTAAAAAAAAATTTTTTTTAGGTAAGTCTTAAATGTTGCGCATTTATAAATCTAACACGGGGGCGCACCTTAGTCTATGCACCCCACTGATCTATGTACAATAAAAATACAGAAACCTAACTTTTCTTAGGTTCAATTTGAATATGGGACCTTTCAAAAATGACGTCACAATTGGAGGGGTTTTTGAAATGTGACAAGGGAAAAGGAACAAGAAATGTGACAATACATGTACAGGGTGCGTAGCTAAATCTTTCCAAGAAAAAATAAGCACCTTTTAAGTACTTTTTAAGCACTTAAAAATATTTTAAGGCACTATATACATTCACAAAATGCAAAATAATTTTCAAAGACTTTACATGATCACGATAAAATAACTAGTTTCTGACAAAGAACTCTTTTGCTTGATTACATTAACCATCATAAAGAGATCAAGAGTTTTTTCAGTTCGATGTCAGAGGGCCTGAAATTGAGAATATCTTGCAAAATGCAGCAGAATTGCACATGAGAGTGCAATAATATCACCAAACCCAGCTCATGCGGACCAGCAAGTATTTAATCAAACATGTAAAATGATTGGCACTTTCATACGCTACGGACCGACAATACGCCGAAATGGATTGTGGTTGAATGAATTGTTAAAACGTTGAATAGAACAATGTGAAAACCACGCTTTTGCATAACGTATGGCGAAAATCGACATACGAAAATAAAAATCTCATTTTCGAAAAGGGAAAATTAAGCACTTTTTAAAAACGCTACGCACCATGAACTAATAAAATTAAATTTTTTACTCTTTTTGTTTTCATATTTCTTTCATCAAAATAAGTACTACCCTAATCATTAATATTATTATGTTCAGAAATATAACTAAATCAAATGGTTAAAGTTCAAAAATAAATTTTAAATGACATTAAACGTAAGCTTAGTTTCTGAACTACTAAAATGTGTTTATGTCTTGGCCAAAGGTTTATGTAATCTAGCGTGACATATAACAATAGGGGGGGGGAGGGGGAGTATAATAAAGTGTGAAATTTTATAACAAAGAGGAGAGAAAACCAAGAATATCGGGGGGAAAAAAGTACTGAGATCTACTATGTTTAGCCCTTATAATGTACGTTTAAAAGAACAATAAATTGCATACATTAAATTTTTTTTATGAAAACATTACGTACCTTTCTAATAGTTTTCTTGTCCATTTCAAATACATTTGGCAGGCATCAGGGTGATATTCGTTTTCTACACCATACTGGGTCATCGTTATAAAAATCCTGGGATTTCTGACTAAACAGCAATGTGAAAAGTTTATCATATCATCTGGGAGATTATTTTGGAATAGGGTTAAAAAAGTCACTTCGACGTCTCGACACATTTTCAAAATCATTTCTACGTCCTCCACATGTTCGAGAAGTTCGGCAAAAACAAATGTGTAAAATATCGAATAGATGAAATCCTCGCCCAAAGGTATCCGATTATGCGATCTGATCGAAAACTCATGATAAAATTTTCTCTCTTCTTCACTATATTCCTCCATTTCATCTAAGAATATCAATCGTCCTTACCTCAAACTGTTTCTTTTTGAGAGGGCCGCGTTGAGACAACACCACCTATCTCGGTGGTGTTGGTTGAGACCCCCCTAACCTTTTTCGAGGTCACGGGTTCGCCAATACGCCAAGTTGTCTTACTACTTTGTAGTGTTTATGTGTTTGGTTGGAGCGATTGCTGTGAAAAAAAGCTTCCACTGGTCCGCTCCAAGCAGAATCGTCGCCAAGATTCTGTGGGGGACCGCAAACAGAACATTTTGAGGGGTCCTTCAAATATAGTCTGTCTACGGTGTCCAGGGGGGTGCAGTGAGGGTGATGGAATGGCCTACCTTCACTGGGTTACATTGAATTCCCACCTTTTCGTCAATTTTGCAATTATTTTTTCATTACATGTAATTTAATCTTTTTTTGCTAATTGTGAAATTTGTTTATTAATGTAATTCTTTTATGTCCTATATACAGTCGGACCCCGATTTAACGAATTCATAGGGACCGAAAATATTATTCGCTAAATCGGGGAAAATTCGTAATGTCGGGGGCAGAATGAAAAAAAAATTGACTTAACTTATGATATATTCGAACATCTCTAATAAGCAAAGACACAAAATAAATAAAAATATTACACTTTTCATTCAGGAACTTAAAATACAGCGAATGATTACGCGCTGATTTATTTGAAATTTGTTCATTAATGTAATTCTTTTATGTCCTATATACAGTCGGACCCTGATTTAGCGAATTCATAGGGACCGAAAATATTATTAGCTAAATCGGGGATGATTCGTAATATCGGGGGCTGAATGAAAAAAAAATTGACTTACCTTATGATATATTCGAACATCTCTAATAAGCAAAGACACAAAATAAATAAAAATGTTACACTTTTCATTCAGGAACTTAAAATACAGCGAATGATTACACGCTGATTTATTTGAAATTTGTTCATTAATGTAATTCTTTTATGTCCTACATACAGTCGGACCCTGATTTAGCGAATTCATAGGGACCGAAAATATTATTTGCTAAATTGGGGATGATTCGTAATATTGGGGGCTGAATGAAAAAAAATTGACTTACCTTATGACATATTCGAACATCTCTAATAAGCAAAGACACAAAATAAATAAAAATGTTACACTTTTCATTCAGGAACTTAATATACAGCGAATGATTACGCGCTGATTTATTTGAAATTTGTTCATTAATGTAATTCTTTTATGTCCTATATACAGTCGGACCCCGATTTAGCGAATTCATAGGGACCGAAAATATTATTCGCTAAATCGGGGATAATTCGTAATATCGATGGCAGAATGAAAAAAAAATTTGACTTACCTTATGATATATTCGAACATCTCTAATAAGCAAAGACACAAAATAAATAAAAATGTTACACTTTTCATTCGGGAACTTAATATACAGCGAATGATTACGCGCTGATTTATTTGAAATTTGTTCATTAATGTAATTCTTTTATGTCCTATATACAGTCGGACCTAGATTTAACGAATTCATAGGGATCGAAAATATTATTCTCTAAATCGGGGGAAATTCGTAATATCGGGGGCAGAATGAAGAGAAAAAATTTAACTAACCTTATGATATATTAAAAGGAACTTAAAATACAGCGAATGATTACGCCCTGATTGATTTGAAATTTTAAAGCATTTCGTGAGTTTGCATTTTCCCTGATTTCTTACTTTTTCTGATGCTTTGTACGGTTTGAAAACAGTGAAAACTTAGCTTCATTTTTTCCTTCTAAGCTTGAAGTTTTTTTTCGACGTCATGAAGAAAAGAAAATATTCCTTCATTTACATCTTGCTGCTAAGTTTTCGCTGTTTCCAAACCGTAACCGTTCCAAATGAAAAAAGCATCTGAAAAAGAAACAGTTTTCACAGGAGATTCATCATCATCGACTTCAGTGTTAAAGTTGCTGTTCAATTGTTTCCTATAAATCTACTTCATTAAAGTTGTTATATCGAAAAATTCGGTAAATAGGGGTTCGTTAAATCGGGATTCGACTATATATATTTTTTTCTTCTTTTGAAGTTGATTATAAAGTGAAAGTTCTGAGAGTTTCTTGCTGTTGTCGTATTTTTTTATTATTATTATTTAGCGTTAAATGACGTTATAAGTTCGAAATAAATTTAAAATCATGGTGGCTCCATATAACTTAAACAATTTCAGACAAAACGTAGGAATTCATACCAAATATAGAAATAGTTAGAAACAAGAGTTTCTTGTTTGCGTTACTTTTATAAAAAAATAAACTAGCTAAATCACCGCTTTTTGAACGGGGTGAATTTTAAAAAAATCAAACAGTTTCGAGCATATACTACGAAATGACACGCAGATTTGACAGTATGACACAATTGAAGAGATTAGTGGAAGAACCAGGTAAATGACATTTTACGGGGTATTTATGAATCAGTGGAGAAAAAAAAAGTCATTGCATCAATAAATGGTATGTTTAGATCGTTTCCAACTTACATGAGGCCGTGGCCTGCAATAAAAAACACCAGTCAAATGGCGGGCCGCAACTTCATCAAAACTTTATATAGGACTCTTCTATGTTTGAAGGAACATTAAATATTACTGTCGGAGTTTTATAAAGTTGCACGAAACAAATTAAAATAAGAAGTAGATTTTTACCTGAGAAATAATTTTTTTTGCACCGTTGGTATGTAAATTTCACAGAAACGAAGAAATTAGTTTTTTTTTTTTTTAACGAAAGAAAAGTATTTTAAACCCATATAATTTTTTACGAAAATTGTCCGCAAAAAAATTGACAACTAATATATTTTAGTTCGCGGGCCACCAGTTGGTAACCACTGGTGTAGATGGTATGTTATGATCAAAAGATGGGTATGTTTAATGTAACAGAATTGTTTTTGCTCTCACTTTAATCTGAGCATAACTAATCCCCATTAGTTTTTAGTATGCTTGCAGGATTTTTATTTTCAAATTAGGCAGCGGTAAATAAATGAAGTATAATACTATACTTCAAAATTACCTAAAAGTCACTCTCCTGACATGTTCGAAATAAGTTTTCCTAAATTTCTACACCAACATTTCAACAATTAAAATAGTAAAGTCAACTATATTTGAAAGTGAAAAATGAAATTTTTTTTTTTCTTTGAATATGTCTAACTCAGCAAGGTGTATCACTTTTATAGGAGAGGTGTTTCGATTTTATAGGAAAAAAATTTGAGAATTTTTAGCCATCGAAAGTGTTTATACCTACCAATTCTGTAGGAGTGCTTTGAAGATTGTTCCTTGAAGCTCTAAACTGAGGTGTGACCTTTTCAACAGTTAAAAAAAAAGAAAAAAAAGTTTTTAAAAAATATAGTGGGGATAGTAGAATTCGACACTGTCAACCATCTATGAAAAGGTACCCCCGACGTAGAATCGAGGTAACATGACTTATATACTAGTGAATCGGAATTGTATTTTTGCAGTGATAGACACACTACAGTACTCCCCCACCAAAATTATAGCTGTGATAGAATTCGATGAACGGATACCACTAGTTGTATCATAGCTGTTTTGTGAGAAATCGGGAGAGCTGTATTAAGATCACCGTGCTTTTGCTGATCGCGAGAGCTGCATTAAGTTCACGGTCGCAGTTACTCCTGCGTTGCCATTATCAGTCGAGTGTATGCAGGCCGAAGTTGTGTGAGATCGAGACTGAGTAGCAACAGCGTGAGGAGGTGGATACTGTCGCAGTCACAAGTACACAGTTAAATGTGGATCATCCATCGAAATAGGCGTTACTGTCAAGGTAAGCATGTTCACATCACGTCCGGGTCACCAAAAGTGGGGAGTGTAGAATTCGACCATATCAACCTTCATCTATGAAAAGGTACCCCAACATAGAATCAAGTTAACATGCAGGGTGCGTAGCCAAATTATTCAACAAAAAATAAGCACCTTTTAAGCACTTTTCAAGCACTCAAAAATATTTTTAAGCACTTTAAACGAATAGCGCTTTCATACGCCACGGGCTGACTATATGCCGAAATAGATTGGGGTTGAATTAATTATGAAAACGTTGAATAGGAACAATGTGAACTGTGTCTTTTCGCATAATTTGAAACGAAAATCAACAGAGTAAAGGAAAAATCTCATTTTTAAAAACACACAATGAAAAAAGCACTTTTAAGGGCTTTTAAAAAAAGAAAATAAGCACCTTTAAGCACTTTTTAAAAACGCTACGCACCCTGTTAAATGCTAGTGAATCGGAATTGTATTTTTTGTAGTGGTAGATACACTACAATAATACATATTATAATGTTTTGATTCTAAAGGAATAACCTACTTAAGCGTAAATCTGTCTTAAGAACTTAGTAGTGGGTAATTAGCAGCAAGTAAAAAATTACACTACTATCATTTAAGTGCCTTAAAAAAATGCACTTTTAGTTTTTAAGAATTGGTGATTTGTAAATGTGTCAAAAAGTTTTTGGTCAATCCCCCCACATATTCCTAAGCCTGCACTTTATTTAATAAAGAGTGAACTTTATTTCTTTAATAGAATTAATACATTTTAATGTGAATTGTAAATATATATCGTTAAAACCAAGTTTGTTTTTTCTAAACAGCATGTTCAGATAATATTTTGTCTGCAAAATTTAAGAATAATAAATAGTTAAAATTCATTGCATAAAAATCAATTATCGGAGAGCCAGTTATTATGCAATATGCAACAGGCTGAAGTGCCCGAATAATTTTAGGTAATGGGCTACAAAAACAGTTGACTACCATTTTATAATTATTGTAAAGTTGTAATTTTAAAATGTTGAGTGTATTTAGTTTTAATGTAATAGTGCCATGTATTGTTCACACATGCATAATTAATCTCTTTACTAATGAAAATAAATATAGGTACCTAATGTAAATATGCCGAAACAAGATTACAAAGCAATTTACAGTATAAGAATATAAAAGAGGGAGGAAATGAAGCCTGAAATTGAGAATATCGTGCAAAATGCATGAGAGTTGCACACGAGATTGCAATAATCTCACTGAACCCAGCTCAATAGACGTACATGCAGACTTGCAAGTATTTTCTCAAACATGTAAAATGATTGGCGCTTTCATAGGCTATGGACCGAAGGTACGCCGATATGCATTGTGTTTGAATGAATTGTTAAAACGTTGAATAAAACAATGTGAAAACCACGCTTTTACATAATAGGTGGTGAAAATCGACAGGGTAAAGAAAAAATCTCAATTTCGAAAAGGGAAAATTAAGCACTTTTTAAAAACACCCAATAAAAAAAGCACCTTCAAGGTCTTTTAAAAAACGAAAATCGAAAATAAGCACTTTTTAAAAACGCTTGGCATTATGTACAATATATAAACTTAATACATCAAATAATTTTGAAGACTTTGGAACAATTGACAAAAATTTAAAATAATTTTAAAAATATGACATTTCTGCTACAGATTTTGTGACCTAAACAAAATTTAGCATTTAGTCATATTTGCGGTCAACCCTTCAAACCATTAAAATTGACACTTAATGTGTAAAAACTCGATAATTAAAACAAATATTATTCAGGTTGATGCCTTTAGTTTTTAACCCAATATACAAAGGAGAAAAAAAAATTTAATAATAAATATATGAATCAGATTTTCTCATATTAGTTTTATTATGTATTATATTTATAATATATACATAATATTTCACGTTATTACATAAATTACTTACAATAATGTTGGTACAAAACAATTAACTCACAAAAAACAAGTCAGAATTAAAATTTACTACTTGTTCGTAAAAAGTTAAAGCAGATATATTGGTATTTTAAACATGAATTAATATTTAACACAGTCAAAGTTCAACACTATCACATAAGAGATGTAAATATTATGAAAGAGCAACCATAAAAACACAAAAAAGAACTTTTAAAAAAATAAATTGCTTGATCCCTGAAAACACACTGAATAGTTGATCTTTGTGTAGTGACTGATTTTTAGGCACTTCTACGTAACAATAAAATCAACAAATTAATAAGACATTTAACCTTTACGTTAAATAAAAATTGAAAAAGAGTACAATGCCTGTAAAAAAAAAACATTTGCAGGTAGTATACCATTCAAAGACAATGCTATTTGTATTTTTATTTTATTATTCATAGCGTCCAATGGGCTTTTGAGTACCTCAGAGAGATAAATAAACAGCCATATTAATGTGAAACTTTGAAATAATAAAATATTAAGCATTCTCAACTTTTAAGATAGTCATTGAAACTGGTTACATTTATAAGAGGCTTTTGATTTCAAAACCTGCTTGACCACGAGATCTTATCGGGGGTGATTGTGACACACAGTGAAAAACCGTGAATGTGTGCAAAAACTCGATAACAAGATATCAATTTCATTTAATAAAATTTTTTGAACTAAGATTTATAATTAAATTACCTACCAATAAAGACTATCACATTTTTGTTGTATTTATTTTACGAAAAAACTTATGTAATTACAAGGATCGCGATATTGGATTTTAAAATCGCGTGAATGCGAATCACGATATTGGATTTTAAGAACGCGAAAATACAAATAACGATATTGGGTTTTAAAACCACGTGAATATTAATAGCGCTATTGTATTTAAGTAAGTAAAAATACAAATTGCAATGTTGGATTTTTAAATCGCGATGAATGATTTTTAGATCCAGTGAATACAAATAGCGATATTGGATTTTTAACTCGGGTGAATATGAATCTTGATGTACGATTTTTAAATCACCTGAATACGATTCACAATGAATAACTTTTAAATCAGGCATATACGAAAATTATTGTTAGATATTAAAATCCTGATATCAGAGGATTTCAGCATTGTTTCAAACATTAAAAAATGTGAAAATCCGGCAAACAAAAAATCAAAATTGCGAAAGAGTCACATGCATGAAAACGTCTCGTTAATGTGATTTAGTAAAAGGTTTCAAAATTTAAATTATAAGATTGTAGAACTTATTTCTTACTTTAAATTTTAAAGTGGGGGGAAAATTTAATCAGATTGTAAGTTTTGATTTTCAAAAGTCCGTAAATCAATGGTCTCGAGATACACGGAATTCTGCAAAAAAAAATCCCAAGCCTTGCTCCTACTTTCTAGACCTAGAAGAATAATACGAAAAACCCAGAATTCCAGGGTACACCTGGAGTACAATCATCCCCGTCTCATTTAAATTATTTTTAAGTTGGTGAGTTTAGTTCAAAAAGAAATTGCTTTATGCTTTATTTCGATTAATTTTATCAAATAAATAATCAATATAAAAAATTGTACAAATTTAGATATTTTTTGTTTAGCTTATAAAAAGGCATAACTGCTATAGGAGAAAAAAAATTTTAGAAAAGGATAAAGGACACTACAGAAAGCTAATCGACATGGTGCACAGCCAGATTTTCATAAAAAAAATAAGCACCTTTTAAGCACTCAAATGTTCTAAAAAAAAAAATCTTAATTCGGATATGTGCAGTAATAAAACTTATTTTTTTCTATCGTTTAAAGTTCTAAATTTATAAACATAAAATCAACAAAATGCAAAAACATTTAAAAAAACATTACATAATCATGATAAAATAACTAGTTTCTGATAAATATTGCAGAAAAAATTGTGAAAATCATGTTTTTTTATTTTTCAATTTAGAATGACGATTGACACGGCAAGAAAAAAAAACACTTTTGAAGGTTTTTAAAAAAGTAGATCAAAAATAAGCATTTTTAAAAAATGCTACGCACCCTGGAAGAGCTGATTTTCCAAATTAAAGCCAGACCTAATTTTTGAAAACGAATCGGGATGAGCTAATTTTTAAAAAGTCAAAGTGAATTCCGGACAAGAAACCAGATGAGTCGGTCATCAAATCAAAGTCCTCTTATAAGATAAATAAAAATGGTTCAGTAATAGCTTAACATTTAAAGGAACAGCTGATTAGGAACTTCTAAAATGCTGTTTATGCGGAGAAAACAGCAGAAATACAGCTTTTTATGAATAAAAGCAAAGGTATAGTATAAACGAATAATTGAATAAAAGCCACAAGATAATAACTTAACTATTACTTTGAGATATCACTAATGTTCAAAAACAAGTATATTTACAGGTGAAAGGCCCAAAAACATATTCTACATAATTCATGTCTCTTGGGGAGATTTGTCTTTTAAATTTATGAAAATGAAATTTTATTATTCACTATTTTTAGGTTTGTAGTACTTAAGCATTTTAAATTAGAAAGGGAAATAAAACATAAAATTTCTCAACTATTCTGAATAAAAAAATTTACCGTTTTAGGTTTATAGAACTGATGCATTTTAAATTAAGAAACAAATAAAGAGTAGTAGGTCCTGTTATTTTGGCATGAAGACATTTAATAATTATTTAGAATCTCAAAATAATAATAATAACAAATCTATCATTTCAGGTTTCTAGATCTGGTTTTAAATTAGAAAGGTTGTTACAGAAATGCTCACAAAAAAGCTTAAAATTATTTCAACATTCTTTGCTTTATTTTTCTTTCTAAAAACACCTCAAAGAGATTGTTATGGAAACATTAGAAAATCTTGTTTATCTATCAATATTTAAGCAGATGCTGGTCAATTTCAAAAAGCACTCTAAGCTGTTGTAATGACAAATACATCGCAGATAGAAAAGCAATATTCTGAATTATAGTTTTACACACTTTTTACAATCAATAAATTTCCGAATATTAAATGTCATTCAAACAAATAATGAAATAGTTTTTTTTTATTTATTAAAAATTGCCTATGGGTGATTATTATAAAACACAAATTAATTTTAGAAATAAATTTGAAATGAAATTCGCACTTTTACAATTATATTCAGAAATTAAAATTATTATTTTATTAATAAGGACTTCTATACACAAACAACTGCAAGTAAGGCATGTGCAGTTGACAAAAGCTTGGAAGTAAAAATTAAAGAAAATAAATAAATGTTGCTTTGAATTTATAAGACTTACAATTTTGTGATCATAAAATATAAATATTTTTTTAAAAATACTAATAATAAAATAAAAGACACAAACCACATTCAGAAATTATTTTGTAGCTTTTAATGAATACACAGATTATAATTAACGTAATAAAATATATGTAGTTTCAAACAGTAATTATTTCATTATAAATATACATTTCACCAGAAATTTTTTAAAAATAGAATAACTTCAAAGGACAGTTTATTTAGTAAAACATTTTTGGACAGTTTATTCAATATATAGGTTTTACATTTAAGATGATAAAATGGTTAATAACCATAATAAAATATTAAGCGTGATGTATTCTTAAAAAAATGTTGTTAACTGTGAAAAAAACATCTTATATTTTTTAATTAAAACATTCTATTAATGAACAATTAGTTACTACACATGTTAGACAAAAGCAATTAAATTGTAAAGATTTACTACTATATTTATATATATTTTGGTTAGAATGTATGATACTTGCTTATTATGTTTACAACATAATTTATCTTGTTAACAATAAAACATACAATGAAAAAGGACGTTAATTTGAACAAGAAGGCATTCTTAATTTTAAAAAAATGTTTAATAATAGCTTCAATATCATCATATGAGAAATAATTTCAGTGACAAGTTTTCTTTAATATATGTGCATTTATAATTCCTTTTGTTTGAAAAATCGAAAATATAATTTTCAAAAAAGAATTGAGTTATCACCAATTTCCTTTCCCTTTTTTTTTTTTGAAGGGTTCGAATAGCTGTTTGACGTGATATGTTCTCTTTAAAAAGAATATTTACAATCCTCTAAAAAATTTATTGCAAAACAAGTCCAATCTGAAATTAAAAGAAAAAAAAAACTTATTATAAATTTTAAAATTATACATTTGAATTTTCATGTAAAATATACCAGAATTGCACATTTCTATCACACGACTTTGTTACTTGGATCTATTTTAATTAAATACTCAAAGATAAGAATTTATTTAAACAAATAAAACACATTATATTTTTAAATATTTTCCAAAAAGGAAGAGGGGGAAAAATGTGACAGCACATTTTATTAAATCTAAATTACAAACATAAAAACAAGAAAAGGGAAAAATTGTAGAGGAGTTTCAATTAGACATTTCTCTACTTCATTGCACAGGGCAATTTAAATATTGAATACGTTTACAGCAAACAAATAAAAGGCTATTTCATTTTTACAATTTTTTTTTCAAAAAAGAAAGAGTAAAATATATTACTACCTATTTTCTTAAATATAAATTATTATAAAATATTGAAATTCTTAACTACTATTTCTAAATTCTTATTTTTCTGTTTCATTCAGAACAATTTAAAAATTAGAGGATAAGTTTGTTCAAACAAATGAAAAACACTTCCGTTTTAAAACTCATTTTCAATAATAATAAAAAGAAAGAAAAGAGCATCACAATCTATTTTCTTAAATCTAAATTAATGACATATGAGTAACAAAAGGGAAAAAAATTCATAAGTTGCAATTACACATTTCTTTACTTGAACATTTAGAGTAATTTAAATATTAAAAAATAAGATTTTAATCAAACAAGCGAGAGGGATTTTCAATTTCATACCTGCCAACATTGGAATAACAGATATTTTACTAGCAACATTTTTTAGGCTACTAGTAAAGTTTTACATCATGCATAATTATGTAAGTCAGAAAGAGAAATTCAAACTTGAAAATAATGTAAGCACTTACATTTAATAAGATAAAAACTATGAACACAAATCTTAATCTAAAAAAGATTTTTTTAAAACTATTATTTATAATTACTTAAACTATTTTATTTTATAACTGCCGTTGAACAGAAAACCCAACTTTTGGATTTACGACTACAAACATTCAACGACATAGCCTAGTAATTTTAAACCCAATCCAGAAGACTCCCAGATAAAGTATTGGGAGAAGTTTGCCAACATGGAGGACTTTTTTTATGGAACTAACCCACATTTGAGTTACATGGATAGGAAGACCAGGAGAATCTCCCATGGTCAATTTGACGGCAAGGAGACTCTAACCCATAATCCATCTACCACTGAGGATATTTCACATCAGCACAGTGGTCAGTGAAAGCCGGATGAAGAATTCGTATCGACCAGCCATCAGCGGGATTCGAACCAGGTTCACCTCATTAGAAGGCGAACGCTCTATCCCCTGAGCTGCTATGGCTCTATTTAAACTATTAACACTCAACATAGTGCAATTCTGGCAATAATACTATATGTTGAGGAATAAAAAAGTATTTTTGCCATCAGCAAATATTTAATCACCATTTTTTTTTTTAAAATTTCTTCAACAAAGACGGAGAAATTTGAGAACATACGGGTAAGCAGAAGATAGTCATAAAATACAAGAGTCTTCTTTAACCTTCCGTTAGTCGCGCGCACCTCACAGGTGCATCCCTACTGCACTTCCACCTCCTTCGGCGTCAATAGATTTTTCCGGGGGTCGAGCCTAATGTTATGTTCCTAACTTTGGATTACTCAAATGTCCGTGTAAAACCGACCTTAGAACATGTCGATGGAGAGTTGGAACCGTTCAAATCACCCCTCTGGGGCAGCGCGACCATTGACGCAAGTATTATGGATATAATATTTTTATGAATTAAATATATATATTTTATCTCATTTTCTGTCCTTCTCAACGTAGCAGGTATAAATGGTCAAGTTATATACACAGAAAATGGTTACGGAGTAAAAAACCGCAGAACCTTCTTGCGTCAATTGGTTGAACATCTTGTGATGGAAGAAGAGATCCGACGCGGGAGCAAGAANATTAGAATAATAAAAAGTGAGGTCTTACTTGATTAGGCGACATAGGCTGACATCTCCAATTATATAAATAATACTGTAAATTGCCATCTCCTATTCCAAATTTAAGAGGCTCTAGAAAAGTTTTATTCTCCATTAAATCAAGTGCATTGAACACGTCATAGCCCATCTAAACACAAGAGAGAGAGAAGAAAAAATCAACCTTCAAGTATAATTGTTAAATATAACATTTAGTTGAATATTATGTTATTAAATATATCAGGGGTCTGTCTAGGTTTTTTTAAGAGGTATCTATTTTGTGCAAATTTAAACATAATTTGTGAAAATTAAAAATTATATTAAAAAATTAACACGAAAATATGGTAAAGAAATATTTTCAAAAATTGTCACTACAAATAAAAATCATTTATGACTGGTAAATTTCTATATATTTTTTTTTTCTTTATATATTCAAAAATAATTTTGCTGTTGTAAAATTTTGGCCTTAAAATTGTATCCAAATTTAAAAATCTATAAAAATTATTGTCCATAGTTAAAATTTCAACTTGAATTTAATAAAAACATGCATTTAGCAGTACTAGCACTAAAAGATATTTTCGTTATGAGAACATTTTCGACTAGGTCATACAGAAAAAGTTTCACAGAGAAAGAAATGCTTCATAAAAAATAAAGGTATGTTAGAATAAATTTACAATGGTGTTTAAGATAATGTTCGAATGTTTAGAATAATGTTTGAATTTCGACTTACGTGCAGTTCATAGAGGGAGAGCCTCGTCGTTTCATTTAAAAAAAAGACCTCACTTTGATATGGTGTAAGCGACCTCTTAACCTTACCACATTGCACTATCTGACCAAACACATGATATCTTTTCATAAAAGATAGCTGGTGGAAAAGTTCCTCTTTTTCATAGATTGCAATGAGAATGGGGTTTGCAAGAGAACATGGCTTTTTAAAAGTTTTTTGTGAAAATACCTTTTCTCCTAAAGTTAAATTTGTGAAGACACCGCTAAACGATAGTAAATTTACTGTGAACAGACCCGTGTAGTTAGAATATAGTTTTATATTGTTTTTAGAAGTTATTCCGAAATCTTTTTTTTATAATTTCCATTAAATCAAGAACATTGAATACATCATAGCCCATCTAAACACAGAAAAAAAAAATCTCTTTTCAATCAACCAACAGGTATAATTGTTAAATACAGCATTTATTTGAATTTTTTTTTATTCGTATAGATATATCAAAAATTTATTAGAATATGCAATTTAAATACAATTTTATATTACTTATAGAAGTTATTCTGAAATCTTGAATTGAAAATTTCCATTAACTCTAAGAAAAATTATTTCAATCAACTGTGATTTTACTTGGCAAAAAATAAGTAAAAAAATTGATAAATCAAAGATCAACTATCAAAATCAACATAATAATAATAAAAATAGTTTTGATAAAAAAATCAAAAAAATATTCTTAAAACAAAGTTTTGGTCTATTTCAATCATTTAGAAAAATTGTACACAATTCAAAACTAAAATTTAAAATAATAAATAAAGATTTTAAAAATATTATAATAATGTTGAATAATTATTAATAATATTTGGTAAAAATCCAAAATTACAAAACAGAACAATTGTTTTTTTTTAAATTTTTTTTTGTTCTTTCTGAATTTTGTAAATGAGACATAGTTAACAATAGCTGAAACATTTACAAGAATTTTATCCACAGAATTTTATTTAAAGGTATAAAATTAGTGAAACAAGCTTTAATAATTTGCTACAAAATTTTATGATCTTTTTAAAATCTTACCCTAAGACCAATCCAAGGGTTTAATGCATACATCCAAGGGTGATAAATCTTTCTGTAATTCCATTTAATATTTCTTAATCAGAATCTAATGTTCAACAGAAATGTTTCAATCTTTTCAAGTTTTATAGTTATTGAAACAACAAATACCAAACATACAAAAATTATTTCTTACCAGGATCTAAAAAGAATAAATGACTGAGCTCTCAATGCATGATTAAAAAAAGGAAATGTAATCAAGATTTTATCTTTCATAAAAATTATGTTGGAATTCTAAAAATATTGAAATAAATCAGGTATAACACACAGAGTGCGTAGCCAAATCTTTCAACAAAAAATAAGCACATTTTAAGTACTTAAAAAAAATTTAAGCACTATATACATTAACAAAATGTCAAAATAATTTTCATGATCATGATAAAATAATTAGTTTCTGACAAAGAACTCTTTTCTTGATTATATTAGCCATCATAAAGAGATCGACAGATTTTTCTGTTCGATATCAGAGGATGGAAAATGAAACCTGAATTTGAGAATATCTTTCAAAATGCAGCAGAATTGCAAGAATCTCAGAGAATTCAGCTCAGTATACGCATATGCGGACCCGCATGTATTTCCCGAAAAATGTAAAATGATTGGTGCTTACGCTACAGACAGACACTACAACGAAATGCATTGTGTTTGAATGAATTGTGAAAATGTTGAATAGACCAATGTGAAAAATTAAGCTTTTGTAAATACGTGGCGAAAATCTGTATGGTCAAGGTCAAGAAAAAATTTCATTTTCGAAAAGGGATAAATGAAGCACTTTTTAAAAATACCTCATAAAAAGCACCTTCAAAGGTTTTTCTTTTTAAAAAACGAAAATAAGCACCTTTAAGCACTTTTTAAAAACGCTACGCACCATGATACATATGAAACCTCAACCACAGTAAAATTTATAGACAGTTCAAAAGAAAACTTTTTTCTCACGATTTTAGAATTTTTAACAAAGTCATTTTTAAATAAACAAATTTAGGGCTGATGCATTATAGTGCTTTTTTTTTTAATCCAATGCCCGACCAAAGCATGGCCGCCATCAGTCTACGACAGGCAACTCAATACAATTCAAAAATAGTTAATTAATAAGTTACAATGATTTTTAACAGCATTAGCCACCACTGCCTTCTGAAGCCCAAGACAAGAATCCAAATTGTAGTTTTCACATTCTTCAGCTTTACATAAAGGGCGAGTTGGGCAATTGGCTGAAACAAATCTATGCAACTGTTTGGTGAGGTAGTTATATCCAGCTTTGATTACACACAATTGCTTAAAATTTTAGGCATTTAAAACTTCTCTTATTACGCAAGATAAAAGCCATAAAAAATCTTTTTTCACTTTTTTGATAATATGAAAGTATTGGAATAATTCATTATTACATTAAAAAAATTCAAACTAATTAACTGCACAAGAGTAACATCTCCTTTTTCAAAAACAAAACTCACATTCTTAGCTTCAATGAGAACATCCTGCATCAATTCCGTGAGTGGCGTGCCTTTAGTAACATTGTAAAAAGCATAAGCAGCTTTCAGGCCTTTGTGAACAGGATGATGCATGACAGTTGAAGGAAGTGTATAAAAACTTGCAAAATCAGTAACAGTTCCATTTACCTGTAAAATATATTTTTATTTACAATTTTCAAATTGCAGTTTATACTTTTAAACATACCATTAAAAAAAACGTTCAATGCAGCAAATTTTCATAAAAACAACTTCATGTAGATGTGCAGTTAGCATACAATAAGTATTTATTTAAAAAAAAACTTTGTAACTCGCAGGAAATTTTAGATTATAAATTTAAAATGTTGGATTGATTTGATATTGTATTGCAATATGGTTATAAATTACAATAAAAATTTTTTACTTGTAGTGATTTTAATAATGGGCACTTATTTTTTTCCTATTGAGTACTATTATTTTAAATGCTTCCTTATTATGACTCTATTTTGATTTAATACAGGAGAAGTTTTTCTTTAGCAAGGTTCAAAGAGCTACCATGTGAAGAGAAAACTTTCCTCATTCTAGAAGTTCCATCCAATCAGCTTCGGGCATGGTTCCTAATGCAAGTTCAGATGAGTTGTAATACTAGTTTAACTTTAAACTTAGGTTGTACCATTTTTTCATGGAATTTTCCTCACTACTACTGCACAACATTTCTTCCATTTTATTTCAACGAATATAATATTGTCATAATGTTATTTTCTCTTTAAAACTAAAAGTATTAATACTGAAAATAAATTGCAAATAACAGGAGAGATTGGATAAAGATATCCTAACACGCAAATGTGAAAGCACAGGACAAGAAGAGAATAGGTTTTTATTTTTTTAAGGGTTACTTTTCTTTTGTGAAAACCCAGTTTCATCATGACAGAATCTCGGCGACACAGCAACATTGTCGCAGAATGTTACAGAGTTCTTGCAGAAAGAATTTTCCTTTAGAAAGTAAAAAATTTTGGTTTTCTCTTTAGCAAAAAATTTCGAATTTTCTTCCCCTCTAAAATTATATTAAAAAGATGCCTTTTTCGTGCATTGGACGGGAGCGAAATGTTCTTAATTTTTAGATTCTTATTTGAGGAATGAAAAATAAAGAATATTCAAGCAAAAAATTTCTGTTCTGCAGATTTTTTTTCCTCCACAATTATACTCAAGAGATACCTTTTTCAAGCATCAGAGTGGAAGAAATGCTCGTGATTTTTTTTATTCCCTTTTGGGAAAAATAAAATTGTTTTGGTTTTCTTTTCTTTCACTGATTTTATGATTTTTAATAATTTTTTTTTACGTGATGATGATTTACGAAATGCGAAAAAAGAAATAATTAAGTGTGTTTTCATCTTACAAAATGTGAGAATATCGCCCTTGAAATTAGAATAAAAAAATATTACTCCACAAGTTTTTTTTCTCTAATATTCATAAACCAAATTTTGTAGTACAAAATTTGCACAAATATGATTGTAATAATTTTTTTGTATAAATTTGTTGGAAATTAAATTTTTTCTTTCTTTTAATTAAACAAAGATGAACATGAATGTAAGCAAAAATAGTTAATTGTAAAAGACAATACTATGATTTTGCTTTATAAAACTATTTTAATTAACTACGATATTACTTAATGGAATTGCACTGACAGTTATTATGTTCTTTTAAAAATAGATTTCATATCATGCCGATTTAATATTGTTCTGTGAATTTTTATGTTTTCAGTTTTTGTATTACCATTAGTATAATTAGCAAATCCTTTGCATTTTTATTTATTTATTTATTTTATTGTATTTATGTCAATTCATCCCTTCAATAGGTCGATAAATGAGTACCAAGCATGCTTGGAAACTAAACACAGGGGGTTTCGCGCTCGGCTGACCACCTAACCGGAACATCTGCTCCTGCACCCCAGAGCCCAAGGTCTAGAAAACTGAGATGGGCACAGTAGGCCTTGGCCCTCTATGGGCTGTCGTGCCACTGAGTTTAGTTTAGTATTTATGTCAAAGCTTTTCATATAAGTTTTTTTTTTGTTAAACATCAGTTCTCTGAGTAAAACCCAGACTATTTATTTGAGTGGCTCTTATAGAATTATTATTTAGTGTTGTATCAAAGTAAGAATTTCAAGCAGCCACTTAATCAGCAATTATTTAATCAGAAATTCGATCAGTGAAACTGAATGCATACTTGCAAACATTGGAGAAATAAAATAACGGAGATTTTATTTTACTAGAGAAATTTTTTGGTCTACGAGTAAAGTTTTGATACATCATGNAAGTAATACACTAATGATTATTTCCAAAATGATGGTAAGGTAAAGATCTTTCAAAAAAGAAAGAAAAATCCTAAAATCTTATGAGGAAAAAAAATTTTGTTTTAAAAAATGGGGGGGAAATTTGTAGAATTTCGTTCCGGTTTTTTGGTTTTCCGGTTTTCAGAATTCCGGATAACGGGTTCTGTACTGTATTGTAATATGGTTATAAATTACAATAAATTTTTTTTACTTGTAGTGATTTTAATAATGGGCACTTATTTTTTTTTCTTATTGAGTACTATTATTTTAAATGCTTCCTTATTATGACTCTATTTCGATTTAATACAGGAGAAGTTTTTCTTTAGCAAGGTTCAAAGAGCTACCATGTGAAGAGAAAACTTTCCTCATTCTAGAAGTTCCATCCAATCAGCTTCGGGCATGGTTCCTAATGCAAGTTCAGATGAGTTGTAATACTAGTTTAACTTTAAACTTACAATGTACCATTTTTTCATGGAATTTTTCTCACAACTAAATGCACAACATTTCTTCCATTTTATTTCAATGAATATAATATTGACATAATGTAATTTTCTCTTTAAAACATAAAGTATTAATACTGAAAATAAATTACAAATAGCAGGAGAGATTGGATAAAGATATCCTAACACGCAAATATGAAAGCACAGGACAAGAAGAGAATAGGTTTTTATTCTTTTAAGGGTTACTTTTTTGTGCAAACCCAGTTTCTCCACGACAGAATCTCGGCAACACAGCAACATTGTCGCAGAACGTTACAGATTTCTTGCAGAAAGAATTTTCCTTTAGAAAGTAAAAAATTTTGGTTTTCTTTTCTGCAAAAATTTTCGAATTTTTTCCCCCTCTAAAATTATATTTAAAAGATGCCTTTTTCGCGCATCAGACGGGAATGAAATGATCTTAATTTTTAGATTCTTGATTAAATTGTAATTTTGATTTTAGATTCTTCTTATTTAAGGAATGAAAAATAAAGAATAATGAATCAAAAAATTTCTTTTCTTCAGATTTTTTTTTCATCCACAATTATACTCAAGAGATACCTTTTTCAAGCATCAGAGCGGAAGAAATGATCATGATTTTTTTTAATTCCCGTTTGGAAAAATAAAATAGTTTTGGTTTTCGTTTCTTTCACTGATTTTATGATTTTTAATTATTTTTTTTTATGTGATGATGATTTACGAAATGCGAAAAAAGAAATAATTAAGTGCGTTTTCCTCTTACAAAATGTGAGAATATCGCCCTTGATATTAGAATAAAAAAATATTACATATTCATTTTTTAAAAAATACATACAATTTTATTATATCCAAATAGGCTTTTCTATGTAAATACAATGTTTCTGTTACTTTAAATATAATTAATAACATGTATATTAGTTATTATTAAAAGTATCTTGCAGAAAGATATTAGTGCTAGAGAGGTTTGTCACAGAAAGTCTAAACAAATTCTGCCACAGGGCCAAGTTTGTTTCTAAACAATTGTTTAGATAATATTTTGTCTGCAAAATTTAAGAATGATTAAATAGTTAAAACTCGTTGCATAAAAATTTATAATCGGAGAGTCAGTTATAATGCAACAGGCAGAATGCCCCAATAATTTTAAGTAATGGGCCACAAAAACAGTTGGTTGCCATTTTATAATTATTGTAAAGCTGTAATGTTAAAAATGTTGAGTATATTTAGTTTTAATTTAATAGTGCCACACATAGTTCACACATACATAATTAATCTCTTTACTAATGAAAGTAAATATAGGTACCTAATGTAAATATGCCTAAACAAGTATAGGCACAAAATTACAAAGTAATTTGCAGTGACACATTTAAAAGAATATAAAGAGAGAAGAAAAAACAGAAAATTTAATTTACGGCATAAATTTTTTTTCTCTCTATTATTCATAAACCAAATTTTATAGTACAAAATTAGCACAAATATGATTGTAATAATTTATTTGTATAAATTTGTTGGAAATTAAATTTTTTCTTTCTTTTAATTAAACAAAGATGAACATGAGTGTAAAGCAAAAATAGTTAATTATAAAAAACAATACTATGATTTTGCTTTACAGAATTATTTTAATTAATTACAATATTACTTAATGGAATTGCTCTGACAGTTATTATGTTCTTTTAAAAATAGATTTCATATCATCCCGATTTAATATTGCTCCGTGAATTTTTATTTTTTCAGTTTTTGTATTACCATTAGTACAATTAGCAAATCTTTTGCATCATTTTTATTTATTAATTTTTTTTATTGTATTTATGTCAATTCATCCCTTCAGTGGGTCCATAAATGAGTAACAAGCATGCTTGGGAACTAAACACAGGGGGTTTCGCGTTCGGCTGATCACCTAACCGGAACATCTGCTCCTGCACCCCAGAGCCCAAGAAAACTGAGATGGGCACAGTAGGCCTTGGCCCTCTATGGGCTGTCGCGTCACTGAGTTTAGTTTAGTATTTATGTCAAAGCTATTCATATACTTTTTTTTGTTGTTAAACATCAGTTCTCTGAGTAAAAACCAAACTATTTATTCGAGTGGCTCTTATAGAATTACTATTTAGTGTTGTATCAAAGTAAGGATTTCAAGCAGCCACTTGATCAGAAATTATTTAATCAGAAATTCGATCAGTGAAACTGAATGCATTCTAGAAATAAAATAATGGATATTTTATTTCACTAGAGAAATTTTTTGGGCTATGAGTAAAGTTTTGATACATCATGCATAATTATGTAAGTCAAAAAGAGAAATTCAAAATTGGAAATAATATAAGCACTTACATTTACCCAAGTAACAATTATGTATATAAATCCTAATCTTAAGTAGATTTTTTTTAAATCATTACTAATGATTACTTAAACTATAAATACTCGAGAAATTTGAGAATATACAGGTAAACAGAAGATACACAAAATACAGGAGTCTTCGTTAAAAAACAGGAGACTTGGCAGGTATGTAAATGGATTAAAATTACAATACTGTTTCTTTTCTGTTTTATATAATTGAGGTAAAAAGATGAGAAAAACATTTATTACAGGAAAGTTTAAGCAGAGATAAAAAAACAGAGACTAAAATAAGTAAAAAACAATATTTCTAAATAACTTACTTCAACCACAAAACTGTTGACAATATCTGGACGGGGGAGAAACCAATATCGAAATTCCTCTTCGTTGAAGGTGGGAGCCAAATCAAATTTTGAAAGATACTAACAAAGCAAATAAAAAGTTTTAAAAACATTTGAAAAATTAATTTCAATTTCAGCAATTTATTAGAAACCATAAAACTTTTATTAATAATAAAATATGTTTAAAAAATATAAGCAATAGTATTTCATTAATGAAGTTCCATTTAACTTGAGCACTGGTTAACAGTCAGTGTTATTTGATAAGAAAACAATGCTACTTTTTTATATTAGGTAAGAATTTTTTTTTTACATATATCCATATATTTAAAATAATAAAGTTTGATTGTTTTAGTTCTAAAAGAAAAATAAACATAAGCTTTACTTTAATGTTTTCTTAAAAAATACAATTGCTTAAGATTTATTGGTTTAAACATATTAAACTTTTGTTATAGCATTGAAATCACATGTATTAAAAGAAAATTTTATAAAATTAAAACAAAATCAAAATTTTACGCTTTTTAAATTATTATTTAAAAAAAACTACACTTCTTAAATGTCAAAACATTGTCTAACTTATTCAATTAAAATAATAAACCAATAAAGTTGAATTGACTAATGGCCAAATTCTAATTGACAAAATTAACTTTGTTCTAAAATAAAGTTAGATGACTAATATCTAAAATAAAGTTCTCTGCAGTTACAAAAAATATAATAATTCAAAAATATTTTCAACTTATACATATTGAGATAAATCTTTAAAAATTAAGGGGAAAAAAATATGTAAATTAATACTACATTGAAATAAAACTAAGTATTAAAATAAATTGTTTTCAAAACATTGCTGTTATTTTGTCTTATTTAAAATAAACAAAGTAAATTTTTTAAATTTAGAATAATAAAGTTTGATTGATGGATGACCAAATTCCACTATTATTTTTATTAACAGTATTTGTATTTGTCTATTGACTTCTCTTTTAAATATATGGTAAATAATATAAATTCTGTAATTGTGAAGCATTACACATTTTAGTATAGACATTGCTTAAAGATTAGGTTTGCCGTAAATAAGTCTCTATTTTACAGAATAATAACAACAAAAAAATTTATTGTGAGTCAAAGTATAATTTCCGAATGAATTTAAATTAATACTTTACCTCACATATTAACTTCAAAACCTGTTTAACATGCTTTTCTTTCAAAGTCTGGAAACCTGGTATCTTTGTAGCCTATAATAATGTAATTTAGAATACACATTTAATAATGATACAGATAAATGAAACTAATAATGATGAAGATCAAAGAATAAATTTAAAAAAAACAATTACTTCAGGTAATTTATAGAGTTTTAACGTTCTCTGCATAGTCATGTTTCTACTGAGGTGGGAGAATTTCACATCTATTAATTTACGAGGATTCAAAGAACGATGCCAATATCTAAAACAAAAGAATGGTGGAATTGAGTTTTAAGAATGAAAACAACATTAAGAGGCACCAAGAGTGACACAAAATCTTGAAAACAATCTTTTATGTAAATTTTTGGGGCTTAATTCGAATAGATTATTTTGAGACCAACGTTATGGCTTATTAAGTTATTTCCTCTCCACAATTTTTTTTTTAAAAAAAAGGTACTGATTGGAAAATGAGAAACAGGTATTTAGTATTTACGAGGTTTTGTTCAAACCTTATTACAGCTAGGAGCTTTTTCTTGCCTTTGTCCAACTTCCAACAATACTCGAGCATAAGGAACTTTTCTCATCATCAGTTAAGGGTTCAATTTATAACTATAGTTCGTTCACCAGGAGTTGGCACTCGGATCCGCCTTCATCACGTCGTATTCGACAATACTATTTCCTAATTTTTGGGAGATTGATGTGAACAATCGTGAACAAGGTTGCTATTTGGCGATCATGTGACAAAAATATTTATTTCGCAATCTTTATGTGCATTTTTTTAACATTAAATATTTCACAAATATTTAATGATATTTCTCTCTTTTGAGTGAATAGTTTGTCCTTTTTGAGACTTTTTTTGCTGCAATATATTCAATTAGCGAGAGTAACGAAAGGTATAATAGCTGATGATAAAGTGAAGTAAGTGACGGGAAAAGAATTCATTGTTTACATTTGACGGGCATTAAGGGTTGTCACAATTTCAAGCGCGGAGACGTTTCTTCTCTTAGCACTGAAATGAACTCTTTCGTCCCAGGAGGTGGAGCCGAGTACAGACTCCTGGTGAACGAACTATACTTCCATTTACATGGAAAAACTATAAGATGATGAGATAAGTTGAGGAATGGGAAAATCCAGAAGATGCTGTTGAGTGAATGGACAAATCATCAAGAGATTTTGAAAGTAGGAATCTTTCATTCGTCACTACACACTATTTTAATGGGAATCAACATTTTCTAGTGCTTGCGACCCACCTAGAAAGGAGTTTCTCTTGTCATTTTGTAAATAAAGATTTGAAAATTGATGATATCGTGCAGAGAGCTACAATTCTAATACAAACTTTACGTGTGATACTTCATTTTGCAAATGATCAGAATTCAAACTGTGAATTCAACAACAGAAACAAGAGCTTTGTTGTTGCATTTAACCAATTTTTTCTTCGAAATACCTAGAGATAGGATCAGATATGCTGAATTTGGATATGCAGGGGTAATCTAATGAATTAATCATCAAAATATTGTTTAAAATATTAGTTTTGTTTCAAATAGGTAATTGCTACAAATGTTCTAAAAAAGATTTTATAAAATTTGTATATCTGCATGCTGGGGAACTAAACACTGGGGGTTCTGCGTTCAACTGACCAAATAACCGGAACATCTGCTCCTTCAGCCCAGAGCCCAAGAAAACTGAGATGGGCTTAGTAGGCCTTGGCCCTCTATGCGCTGTCGCGACTCTGAGTTTAATTTCAGCATATCTGTTACGAATCACTCTGCATAAATCATGCAATAAGACGTTTTCCATTATCATTATTTAAAAAATATAGTATTTATTTTAAAAAATATGAACAGTCAACACTTTGATAACACAAAGTTTTTGATATCACGAAAAAAACCACATTTTTTGTGTTTGCTACATTGCTTAATGGGAAAAAATATATAATTCTTTTTACCGAATACCTCAGTGATCATCTATTTTATTTCCCCAAAATATTTTTGGTCAATCATTTTTTTTTCTCTTCCTGATTTCTAAATAATTTAAAATGCTTTCTTAATCACAATTCATAAAACCATTTGTTAAGTAATTTAATGAATCATTTCTAGAAGAGATTGGAATGTTTAAAAAGAAATGCCCTGTGAAACATTCCCCTTAAAGAAGTAGACATGCAAAATATGTGCAGAGATAAGAATATCTGCTGATTAAAAAGAAAAAAACCTGATAATTTAATAAATCCAAAAGAAACTGATATTTATGAGAAAATAATGACTGCGGACAAAAATATCTCTGTGTGTGGTGAATGGTAAGAAACAGAAACATTAAAAGAGGTTACAACAACTGGAGTTATATCAGACAAGAAAGACCTTCAAATAGTCAAATTAAATAAATGAAGTCAATGTAATAAAATTATTCAAAGTAATTGATTTTTGAAGGAAATACACGCTATAAAACTTAGAAATTTAAGCACTGATTCAACTTTAACTAAATTATTAAAAAAATATTCAATTTTCGATATTGTAACATTTTTAGAGGCTGCTTTTGAGTTTGTAATGTAGATTCGCATTAAAAATAATATGTAAGTTTTAAAACATTTAAAATTTTAGAAAAATTGCAACAAATATAGAATAATAATTTTCAAATAATACGCATGAGGTATCACGAAAAAAAATATATGCTGCTAATCGGTTTTGAAACACTAACTTTTTAGACACCACTAAATATCTGTTTCTTTCTATCATTTTTTCTCCTTTTGAACATAAGTTATAAATGATTTAAAAGGTCCCAAAATAAAAATAAATTCTATTATCATATTCTATCCTGCAAAATATTTTTAAAAAAGTTTTGTTTACTATCAAGATTTAATGTTACACTCATTATAAGTGTGAAAGCATGAATTAAATACCTGCATGTTCCAATAGGCTTTGGAAGCACTACACCAGCTGTGTAAACAGCCTGAAATATGCCTTCCCTATTTACTCTCCTAGTGATTTCCCTAATAAGAACAGGTGCAACACGTTTTGATCTAAGCTTTTTGTGTACACATAGGAAATTGATTTCTACAATTTTTCTTTTCCTGTGTAAAAAATTAATACTAATTAATAACAAATAACACATTATAAAACATAAGATAAACAATAAAATTTTAAAACCTACAAAAAATATAATGCAAATTAAAATAAACTCAGCTCTTTGTGAAAACCAAGAAAATATATGTATTTCTATTCCCTGTAAAAAATATTTTAATCTTTTGAATGGCCTAGGGTTCACAGCAGCAATGGAAATTTAGTGGCCCAATACCTAGGTGATCCAAAAATTTAATAGGATAGACAAACTTGAGAAAAAAAATATCAATGCATGATTCATGTTATGGATCAAAAGTTATTAATTGCCATCGATTACACCTTAAAATTAATTAGGGTCATTAACCCATAATGATTGAAGATTAGAATTTATTAAAAGAGAAAAAAAAAAGCTAAAATAATGTTAGTAAATAGATTCAACATACAGATTAAAATGCTGAGACTAATAAATAAGGAAAACAGAGAAAGTAAGAACTAACAAAATATTACATTAAAAATTATCTAAAAGTAAATTTTAAAAGAGCAAAAAATTATGTTTAAATCGAGACATAAATAGAACGATCGCAAAATCAACTCATGATAAAATACCAGAATTAATGGTGCCATGTAAAATAAATAGGTATATACATTATAATTGTTGATCTCACATATATCAAAAAGCGACATAATAAAAGTTTAAAAAATAACAGTTATTCCATTGAAAAAATCTTAAAACTAAAACCTACACATAGAATAAAATTAGTACATTTTTTTTTTAAACGCGTGGATTTCTGAAGAAAAGAAAAACTATTTTATTACTGTTTTGTAATTTCCAAACATATTTCAAGACAACAATATTGTTGCCCATGCATATGATATTAGCGATATTCATAGAACATTTAGCGACAATTGTCGCGATGCTGCCCTATTGGCTTGAATCCTAGTGATGTCTATCATTCTGGTCAACTTGTTGTACCAGTCATAAGCAAACGGTTGGTGTCGGAGTAAATAGGAACCGCAATGTGTGATTTTTAATCATGTGAATGTTATTTATATCATGTTTGCATCGGTAAGAAAAGGTGCAAAAACTAATATTTTTTTCTTGGTAAGTCGAAAAAGACAAACGCTCTTTAAAGAAGAGGATTATTTTTTTATTTTTGAATAGCAAAAAATTGTATAATCAGGACAATTAATGAGTATGCCTTACTTTCCATATATGCTAACATTAGCAGGAACTGCACTTATAAAACCTACGAGTTTCGTACTTTTTGTAACTCTTACTCCACAGTGCCATGTCTTTTTCCACCCAGGAGGTTGCAATGCCCTAGAAATTAAATAACAAAATATAATTTGAGTTTCAATAAGTCACATTACAAAAAAGAAACAGTGAAAACCATAAAAGGACATCACATTAGAAACATGGTGGCTGAGTGGTTAGTGCTTCACATTCCTGTGCAACAGGTCCTGCATTCTATTCTTGCACCGGGCAAGGTCGACTCAGTTTTTTATTCCTTTAGTGGGTCGATAAAATTAGCACTAAGAGTGCTTGGGGACCAAAAACTAGAGGTTCTGCGTTCGCAACATATGCTCCTGCACCCCAGAGTCCAAGGTCAAGAAAACTGGGATAGGCACAGTAGGCCTTGGCTTTCCATGGGATTTTGCACCACTGAGTTTAGTTAAGAGACATAAATAGTACAATATGAGTTTAATAATAGCATTAAAGAAATTAACTAAATTTATTATCCAGCTATAATTAACATTGTTCGAGAAGAGGAAATATTAACTTCAGTATTTTTAAAACAAGTAAAACTGATGCAAATTTACTTTTTTTCTTTTAATCAAATAGTTCGCTATTAAAAACACAAGGGGTAAATGTTAATAAAAATAATTAATTTTAGCTTGTAACATTACGTCCATTGACAGCATGAAATAAATAATATTAACTTCAGTATTTTTAAAACAAGTAAAACTGATTCAAATATATTTTTTTTAATCAAATTGTTTGCTATTAAAAACCTAAGGATTAAACGTTAATAAAAATAATTAATTTCAGCTTGTGACTTTAGGTCAGTTGACAGCATTAAATAAACAGATCAACTGCAGTTACTATTATTTACAAATGTTTGGGTGAACTTGAAGTTATGTTTCCTAAGCAAAGTTATCAAAGCAACTATTCAAATGAACTGTTCATTTTCTCACAACACATCAAACATGTAGAATGCAACATCATACTGCATTATATAATGTCATAGCTCAGAATTTGCATTTCTTTTAAGTGTAGAATTAGTTATAAAGATTGTGTTGCAATCAACCTTATGAAAAACGGGATAGTTATCCTATTACTTGTATTTCTATCACTATTGCTCTTACGTAATACCGAGAATGTTTTTATTTAACTCTCCTCATTGGTCACATATCAAAGCAACAAATATTTTGTGTTTACATATGAAAAAAATAAAATAAAGATAACATTTGGAATATGAGAGCTTACCACTGTAAAAATCCAGGTGAGTAATCAAATCTAAACATATTATCATCATCTTCTACATAATTTTCATTGAGAAGAGTATACAGCTCATTTAACTGGAAGTTGGGGTAAAAAAAAAATAATAAGTTAATGTTATTTAAATAAAAAAATTAATAAATAAAATTTATATCTAAAAAAATGGGAAAATGCAAAATTTTGCTAAAGAAGCTTGATCTGAAAGAGATTTTTTTTCATCAAATATTATCCTTAAATGAATACTATTTTAAAAAAACAAACATAATAATAAGCAAGCAAAATTTTATGGTAATATTTACATCTATCACACACAAAGAAAAAATATATATGTGAAGCTAACGAAGCATATAAAAAACAGCTCATCAAGGAAAATAATTATTATTATAATTAAGAGGTATTTCATGCTCTGCTTCCATTTAATTCTAATTTTTTTCTTCTTTTAATTCAATACAACAGCTTCAGTGGCGAAAAAAAAAACTTTAATAAAAAGACAAAAGCAAGAGGTCCTTCAGTGAAACTTTAATAATTCATAAAAACTTATTAAATAAAGTTTAAAATCAATAGATTAATACAGAGTGAGATCAGTTGCTAGCCAATTATACTTTTCAAAGTGAATTTTTGGAAAATATGCAAAAAAATTAGTTTTGCGAATTTAACTGAAGCTCTAATATTAAGTTAGCAAATAACTTAACATTAATTTGGTAACTTAACATTAACATTAATTAGTTAGCAAATAGCTTACATTAATTTAAATAAAAGATAATTTTTTTTTAATTTTTATTAATATAAACATGCAATAGACATTAATATTTATAGATATTAAGTACATCACATTTAATGTTAAAAATAATTAAATCTTGAACTTTTTAAAATGTATTAAAACTAGCAAACTATAACTTTAAATCCATCGATCGTAAAGATTGGGAAAAGGGGTTAAGAATTCAGGTTTCTCAAAGTTGCTTACAAGGATATAATTTAGCTGCTTATTTTTATAATTCTAGATATTTCATATTTAAGTTATTAGTTTTATTTTTTCCTAATTTATTTAAATACTAGTTTTATTTACTTATTAATTTTTATTGAACTTGGTGACTTTAGATTTTAAAAAGTATAGGGCCACGTGACATAGACTATAAGAGAGAGAGAGAGAAAGAGATTCGAATAATTGCATAAATAGCTATTTTAAAGAAGTGAAAAGTAAATCTTTCATGATGAGGGGAAAAAAATAAAAATTTCATTGGTAATTAATTCAATAATTATTCAACAACGAATTAAAACAAATTAAGCTTTTTAAAAACTCAAATTCAGCTGAGCTTTGCCAAAGATAATTAAGAGTTTTCTTTTTCATACCTAAACATTCATAATACAAATTAGGTCATTTAAAATTACACTTCCCTAAGTACAATCAGTAGATATACTAATTATTCAGTTATCAAGAAAATGAAAATAACTGGCATATCAGCTGAAATGCAATTATCTTAGAAATTATGTACAAAATAAAAAAGGGCAAAAAAGATCATGTCTTAAAACACAATTCACTAATTAGAAAAGAAGTAAAAGAAAGATTGTCCATGTAAAAAAAGAAATCTTAGTAATTTATTTTTCAAAATAGAGACAAAGTCGGAAAAGATTTGGGGAGAAAAAAGAACAATAAGTTATAACATTAAAATTTCAAAATGTAAAGTATTTCAAAATGGGTGTAAAAATTTTATGAATTAAATTTTTCGACATTTCATTTTTTTAAAAGAAATTTTCATAAACAAAAGGGTGTTTATTTGTAGTTTGTTTGTGTTATGAAGATTTATTTTAAAACTATAATTATTATTAAATTTATTATAATATTTTAAGCAGTAAAAAAATTATAATAAAATTTATTTTTATTTCATTTAAAATTAATTTTTGTTTAAAAATAAAAAAAAAATTAAAAATTATTTTAATAATTTTCATTTTAATAATGGAGAGAATTAAAAATTTACTATAGTTTAATTTTATTAAAGGAAACAAGGTGTGAAGATGATACAAAACTTCAAATATTTAAAATAAAATTATTAAACATACACTGTCTCTTAAATAAAAAAAACTATTATTCTAATTACACCATGGAATAGTTATTTTTATTTAAAATAAAAACTGAATATATTGCTTTTTAAGAAAGCAAAGGCAGAAAAGAAAGCACCTTGACTAAACAACAAAATTCACAAAATAATAACAATTATAAAACCTACAATGATAGGATTATCTATATCAAGAGTATCCCATTGAAAGCCTTGTGGCAAAGAAAGTGGCTCTTTTCTGATTTCATCTATAGTTTTGTCTGGTTCAATAGGCTCATTGGCATTGGCCCCAATTTCATCACCTGTAAGAATAATTGATACATGCTTCATAAAACTCCAAGTTTTTATCAAAGAAACAATATTTTCAGTCAGGAACATCACCCAAAAAATAATAATAAATATATACAGTAAGTGTGTGTAGCCCAATTTTTCAGCAAATAATAAGCACCTTTTAAGTACTTTTTAAGCACTCAAAAAATACTTTTAATCACTTTCCAGAAGAAAAAAAAATCATAATTGTGCGGTAATAATAATTATTTTTTCTGTTGTTTAAAGTTCTTTATTTATAAACATAAAATCAATAAAATTCAAAAACTTTACATAATCATGATAAAATAACTAGTTTCTGATAAATATTGTAGAGAAAATTGTTAAAATCATGCATTTTCTGCAATTTAGAACGACAATAGACACAGCAAAGAAAAAAATCTCTTTATAAGAGCTAGAAATTTAAGCACTTTTTACAAACCCCAAATAAGAAAAAGCACTTTTAAGGGCTTTTAATAAACATAAATCCAAAATAAGCACCTTTAAGCACTGTTTAAAAATGCAAGGCAGCTTATAAAAAGAATCACACTCTAAAAAATATATTTATTAATTATATAAAAAAAACAAGTAATTTTATTGTAATAATGACTAATGAGAAGTGGCACTATTTTTTTAATATTTATATGATTAATTACAATAATTAAAGAGGACAAAATATAAAATGTTTAAAGTATATTTTGTTTACTTATTTCAAAATACATAATATTTGAGGAATCAACAAAATTAATTAATTTTTGAAGTGAGATAATTCTATTTCAATAAGTCCACCATAATTTTCGAAGTGAGATAATTCTATTTCGATAAGTCTACCATGATTATAAACATCAGTTTTGATAGCAGAAATTTTATAATATTTCACTAACATTTTGGCCACTAACCTTGGATACATAACCTTGGATAATCTCCTCATAAAAACAGGAAATATGATTATTAACTTTAAAGTACATTATTATAGCTACATAAAATACAGTCAGACCTCGATATAAGGTCCCCCTAAGGGACATCGCAAAAGTGACCTTATAAGCAGGGTGACCTTTTAACCGATTCATTAGCAGTTTGCAACTAAGCACTTAAATAGTACACATTATGATTTTTTAAAAATGGTAATACAAACGAAAACGATCAGCCATACATTAAATATTTAAGTCAATAAATTTTAACAGAAATAAAGAAGTTAGATTTTTTAAAAATTTTTAATTTAAAATAAAGCTGTTTACAAATTTCCTCAAAGTGTACATACATACATTACATTTTACCTTATTTAAAATAAATTATTTATGCAAGTCTGTCTCGTTTTTGGTTTCATTTTTCGAACAATGTTTTCTAGATTTTGCAACTTCCCAAAATGTTTCTCAGCTCCCTCATGGTTTGTAAAAAAATTTCGTATGACATTTATTGCATTGAAGGCTTCCGCTTGGGTTACAGCTACAGTCTCAGGATCACTGTCATTTTCCTCACTGTGGAACAATTTCAAAAATTGTACCTTGTTCGCTGGTTGCAACACTTTCATAGAACTCAAAAGGGGTAATTGCCTTGTAAAGAAGTTAAACAGTTTTTTGTTAGAAAAGAGCTCCCCTCGCCTCAGACAAAAATGACCTTATAAGCGATAACTATTTTTAAAACTTGACCATATATCCGATAATCTGTCACAAAGAATTCCTATTCAGTGAGCCGGGACTTTGGAAAAGTGACCTTATATGCGGGGTGACCTTATATTGCGGTCTGACAGTATTTAGACAGATAAAATACAAACAATCAATTTAAAGTTGATTCATTCACCTTATTTAATGTCAAAAAAGGAGAGGGGAAAAAGAAGAGAGATTTACTTATTTTTGGTACAGGCTGGGTATCCCAAAACTCAAAATGCTTTCTAATGGCTTCTTCATGGGTTTTTGCAGGACCTTGATGAACCATGTTTAAGTTCAGAATTTCCATGGCTTTCTTAATTTCTTGCAATTTAGTAGCTGACAAACCCTTCAAGTGTAAAAAAAATAATTAAATTATTGCAACAAACACAAAAAAAAAAGAGAAACTTTGCCTGAGCACAGCTAAATTTATGAATCTGTATTGCTTGTGCTTTTTAAGAAGGTAACAATTAAGCTTGCTGTAAGGCAACTGAGCCTGTTTTCAAATCCATAAGGAAGAGACATTTAATCATTATCAAATTAAACAATAATAAACAATTGTGAAAGTTTCTTTTGATTTAACATATTTCATTATTGAGAGTTAAAATTTTCATTCATTTAAATCAGTGCAGTAACTACTTCACAGGGTTCTCCCTCAATTTTAAAAATAAAATTCCGACTTTTCCAGGAAAACTTCGATACAATTCCCGATTTCCCTTTTGCTATGCATGACAATATTTCCACACAAATATTATATATATTTTTTAAATTCAATAAGCAACGAAACTTACATTTTGATAGCAAATATGTCATATATTGCAAATATGTCAAATATACAAATTATAGATAAAAAGAAAATTCTCCCACAAAAACTAGAACTTAATATCTGAATGAAACATAGTTTATTAAGAGTCAGGTCAGTCATTATGTTCAAATTATTAACCAAAATTTATTCAGAAAGCTTAATTTTTTATTACTTAGTACTATTAAACTGAAAATATGGTTGCATTTAAGAAAAAAATTTGAAACAAGACAATATAGAGATGTTAAATTTATAATATTAAAAATATATGTTATTTTGAACATTAGGTACTTATTGTGCTCAACAATTTTAGAATTGGCCATCTTCTAGATCAGGGGTTTCCAACTGGCGGCCCGGCGGCCGCATTCGGCCTGCGAAGTCCTTTTTTGTGGCCCGCGAAATAAAATATATTAGTTGTCATTTTTTGGGGACATTTTTCGTAAAAAATCTATATGGGTTTAAAATACTTTTCTCGTTGAAAAAACCTAATTTCTTCGTTTCTGTGAAATTTAACATACCAACGGTGCAAAGAAATTTATTTTTTAAGTTTTGCCACAAGAAAATATTTATTCAAATACAAAAATAATCGTGTATGTTGCTCTTTTTTATTTCATTTTTTTTTTATTTTGTGAATATAATTTAGCATGTGCGTATCAGAAATTTTCTCGAAGAAATTCTCCGATTTAACTTTTTGAAACCACTCATTTTGGACGAAAATATTTACACACACATTTGTAAATTTTAAATTTAAAATGTAAATATCTATTCTCTGGTGGTTGCAGCAGACAAACCTCAATTTTCTCATTGAACATTTTGTGTGCTACTATGTAAGTTTTAATACCAACATTTTTAAAGTTTTATATCTTAACAATTTGATATCTGTTGCACATTAATTGCTTAATACATAGGTGCGGATTAAAGTTAATGTAGTCCGAATTTTCATTATTTATTTAATATTTTTAAAAATATTATTAATTGCAATTAAATATTTTTAAAAATCTACTTCTTATTTTAATTTGTAATTCAATATTTTTGTTTTGCACAACTTGGTAGAACTCTGACAGTAATATTTAATGAATCAAACATAAAAGAGTCCTACAAAAATTTTTGATAAAGTTGCGGCCCGCTATTTGATCTGTGTTTTTAATTGTGGCCCCCGGCCTGATGTAAGTTGGAAACCCCTGTTCTAGATTTATTATTAAATTCTTAATGGTTTTTGACAAAATTTGTTTTATTCACAGAGTTGTTTTTTTCTTCTTTTTTCTCTTAAAATCAAATTTCCAGATAATTCCTGGTTTTTCGAACCATGTGAGAAAGTACAATTTCATAAGTACAAGTTATACTTTTAATATGATAAATTGATATATTTAGTTTACATTTGACAAAAAAGTATACGTAGTAAGTTTAAAAAATTACAATGGAAAACGGGTAACAAGATAAGATAATACACTTCACGTAAATCTAATAACCTAATTACATATTAGAAAAAAAAGGTACATAAATAGAAAATGAATCTTATAAGATTTACCTTTAAATCTGCAGTTGAAACATCGGGTGGAGCTGCTTCACTAACTTCAACAGAAGCTGCTGCATCTTTTCCTCCTTTCTTTTTGTTTCTCTTTTTAGACTTTTTAGGAGGATCTCCAGGACTAAATGTAAAAGAGAAAATATAAAATAACTGACAATCAAATACTCAACAAAAAAATTTTCATCGATATACACTCCTTACATCTCTTGGCGAGTGCCGAAGTATTTTGACATAACAGATTTAAACTGCAAAATGATGAAACTGCATAACAGATTGACAATCAAAAATTTAACAAAACAAATTTCATCGATTTGTGTTTATGACTACATATGCTCATTTCCATAGCTTTGTAATTTTGAACTCAATCCAGAAGGAACTCTTGGATCAAATAGTGGGAGAAATTTTGCCTTTGTGGAGGACTTTTAGATGGAATTAACTTGCTTTCAGTTACAGAGAGAGGAAAACTACGAAAACATTCCAGCTAGCCAGGTGGCAAAGGCACTGATCCATCTACCACAAAGGATATTTTTACATCAGCACTGTAGTCAGTGCGAGCTATTTGCAGAAAAAAACCTGGTTCGCCTCATTGCAAGGCAAAAGCTCCCTGAGTCATCACGGCTCTTAAAGAGCATTTGTAATTATAGTCTTGGAGATATAATTCTGCTTTTCTGACTTGTCCCTACAATAAGATGTCATTTAACAAAAGAGTGAGTAACGCTGATCTTGAAGTACCTAATATAATAGTTCAAAAACAGAATAATGTGATAACTTTTTCAATGTTTATGATACAGTATTTTTTGTTAGTTTTAAAGCAACAATTTAAAACTTCACATTGAACTAAAATATAAGTTTTTACTTTCAATATGCATGACAAATAATGTAACAATTATAACCATTGAAATCACAAGGCTGTAATACTATGAAAATTACAAATCAGTTTTATGGCATCTGTTAAAGCAAATAAAAATGCAATAATTTGGTGCTTATTGCTTTTGTCTGAGCATGTGATAAAGTAGCCACTAATAAAAACAATAATTTTAACTGTTTCTTTATAAATTTTCTTTAAATAAATAAAATTGCTTTATTCACTTGTGCTGGTGACATGTCAAATTTCTTAACTACGCAGAGATCCAACTTAGCAGATGCAATTTTTGTAGAAAACCTATTGCTGTTCAGCTTCAACTCATCACAGCTGTACCTCAAATAATAATTCTTAGAAATAGAAATCTTGCAAAATCTATTCCAAATGGGATATTTTTCAAAAATTCGCCAAGAAATCTTAAGTTTCCTTACTAGTTTTAAAATAACAATTATTATATCCATAAGTGTGATAAATTGAAGTAGAAGTGCAGCAGAATTTGGTGCAAAAATGGCTGATTTGGTGCAGCTAAACATAAATTAGTGCAGCAATCTCAAGTACTGATTTATTATGCATCTACACCGTTTTTCGAGATTTTTTACTTGCTCGAAAAATATATGTAGAAAAATTGGGATTTAGAACCTTCATTATATTACAGTATTATGGCTTTAACTATTCACGTTAGTTAAAATGATACAAAATTCTATGCGATAACATAAAATTTATAAACTGTCAAAATCGTATAACACAGCCACAACCCTTCCAGGTTTTCTTTCAAGAAGCAATTACAAAATTTAAAAAGAAAATTGCTTCAAGAGCATGCACTATAACTTAACAATCAATTTTTAATTTAAAATATTGACTTGTGAACAAAGATAATGAGGAAGTACATTTTTTTTTAAATCATTCATTAAAGGAAATTCAGAAGGTTTTAATACTCTGCTTACAGGGCAGCATTGACTGACTGTTCATCATTATTATTTTTAATGATTTCATTTGGATCATTATCATCAATCTCAGTAATTACAGGCCCATTTTCTAAAGATTTATTAGTTAGACTAGATTCTTCTAAATCGTGATTATTCATCCCCGCATCGTTTTCCGCCATGCTTGTAAATCTAAAGCACCTGATTGATGCCAATTTCCTCGTCAACTGCAGATGAAACTTCAGTGATTAATAAAATATTCTAAATTTAAAATACTAAAATTTTACATAAATTTTCGACTTTAAATTAAACATAGATTTGCTATTAACAGGAGTTTTTTCTTCAATTATGTAAAAAAAAAATTTAAAATATTAAACCCCAAGATTTGAAAGTGAACTGAACTGCATTGTGAAAGTAAGAAAGGAAAACATCGAAAAGCTTTTTGTTTTGAATTCGGAATTTGAAATGTCAAACATCGAACGAATATATTTATTTTATATTACAGTGAATTTTTTAAAAACTTTGTAAAAGTCTTATGATTGTCCAATTTCGTTGTAATGTTCGTTTATTTTTTTCTAGTCGCCTTGATTTTAACATCATTGATTTGGATCCATAAATTTGTTGAAGATTGCTTCTATGGTAACTATCTGAAACTGTTCTTTTATCATGAACATTTAGAATATTTATTACGAAAAATAAAAACTTTTTTATTTTTTCAGCATTGTCTTAGGTGCTTACAAATTCATAAATTTTATTACTGTTCTTAATTATTTTAATTTATTTTGAAATATTAGATTCTTATCACGTTTCGAGATTAGAATCTGAATTGTAAAACATTTTAAAGTTTTATGTATTTTCTCTACAAAACTATTGCATTGAAATACGCTGTGTAGTTATTTAAAGGAATATTATACTGCTAATTATTTTTTGAGTCCCTTAAAAATCACACTTTTTCCCCCCACTCGCATTAATTAACTTCAGACCACCTCCTCGCTATCTACAGCCCATAAAGATCCTGTTTAACTTTCATAAAATTTCTAAATATCAATGCTCATGTAATATTATTTTAAATGTTATACCTTAAAAATTTAGCACTAAAAAACAAAGAATTTTTACAAAAGGGCAAATTATCCTGGTCTTGCCTATTAAAATAAAATCGATTTTATGTAATTTAGGCCATGCGTATTATACTATTAATCTTTACCAGCAAAGACTCAATTATACTAAAAATTACTAAGTCTTTAATGGACATTCATCACGCTTATAATTAATGTTCTTTTACTGAAAAGATGTATCATTAAAATTGCTTAACTTGTTATCATTCCTATAAAACATTTAAAAATAAACTGTGCGAAAATTGAACTATTACATATTACCAATGTATTGATCTTTTTTTATGTAAGCATATAAAATTATTTAATGATTGACAAAACTTTGGTAAAGTGTAAAAAATATGGCTACTTCTCTGTTTCCAGGAACTCTTAAAGAAACCTATTACCACAGTACATTATTCTAATTATATACTGTCATGCAAAATGAAAAAATAACATAAGTGCTTTATGGTAAATTGCTAGAAAAGCAGTTGACTGCTGTTTTCTTTCACTTGTTAAGACTTTCAATTGTGTAGCTTATACAAATATAAAAATTTCAATTTTAAATTTTTTTGTCGCTTTCATTGATGTTTCAATTGCAAGGCAGTATGTCGGGTACCTATTTCCCCTTATTATTATCACTATGCCAGTAGTACTTGTTACTAAAATTAATTTAGTACCTGCCCTGCTGAAATGGAATTGTGTTAAAATATATTTAGTACACTATAAATGTATTACGAGCGTCAACTGTGCAGTTAAAATCTTGTTATTTCTTAGATATTCATTAAAAAATTTTTACTTGGAAAGGGAAGATTTCTGAATCAGTTCTGGCGACAAAGTGATCATCAAGTAGTGGTAACAAATAGTTATTGGCATGTGAGAAACTAATAAAAATCAGAAACGAAATTGAAAGGTTAAACTCATTGCAGCAATCTTTAAACATCCCGATATTTCAAACAATATGAAAAATTCGAATCGTGCATTTGAGTATTTATTTTTCAAAGCAATAATTCTTTCGAGTTTTTGGCAGTTATTGCTGTTGATTTTTCCATAGTTTTTAAATCCGTTATTTTTTATTAAAACTCGAAATTAAACAGGCGTTTCAGGAGTCGGATTGGTGTGATTTTGTTGTCCATCTTTTTTCTCATCAATCACTACTATGGGTTTTTAATTATTTTCTTTTTTGGGATTATTATTTACGAAATGTGACGAAGGAAATAATTTGTGCATCCCCCCAAGGAAAAATTCGAGAATAATACATATCCCCCATAATATTAAAATAAAAAAATATTACATGCTAAATTCTAAAGAAATCATTAATATTTTTTCTTCTGAAACACAGCGCTTTTGTTATTTTAAATTAGTAACATATATGTTTGTTACTATTATTAAAAGCATCGTGCGGAAAGATATTTGTGCTTGAGAGTCTTATCGCAGATAGCTCGAAAAAATACTGCCACAGGGTTTTTTGCAAAGGAGACAGTTCCTATCAATTTAGGATACATTCAATATCAGTACCAAGTGTTCCACTTCCAATACCTAAAGCATCCAAATTTCACTGCTCAGTTCTTATAATTGGAATCAATTTTAAAAATATATCTATAGTGGCTTGCCTTGTAGGTTTCCCCTTAAGTTCTACTCCACCTGAGATTTTGTTTTTCTTCTTACTGCCGCCTATTTCTTGATTATGTTTATTCTTTTTGTGCAGATACAGATGCAAAACTCTGCCCATTTCCAAATTTGGCTTAGTTTTATTTCATTTAAATTATTATTATTGTATGACATAAAAATTTTAAGTTAAAAGAAATGCATTTTGAATAAACTTTTTCTGGTATTTTTTTTAGGTTATGATTGTGAAGATTTCCAAATTGATAGATGTATAGTTGCAGTTATATTTTCTGCATTAGTGACACTATGGGGATTGAAAAAGAAAAGCCTTGCTTTAAGTGGGGCCATTGGAGGTATTTTTACTTGATTCTTTTTTATGCATTTCTGTATATGAGCTGAGAATTGTCAGAAAATTTTCAAAAGTTGAAATGAGTACATCAGCTTATAATTCCTTCAGACAACATGGTGCTTAGCGTTTTTAAAAAGTGCTTAAAAGTACTTATTTTCATTTCTTAAAAGCAATTAAAGGTGCTTTTTTTATTGGATGTTTTTAAAAAGTGCTTCATTTTCCCTTTTCAAAAAGGAGAATTTTTTCCTTACTGTGTCGATATTTACCACATATTAAGTAAAAGCGTGCTTTTCACATTGTTCTATTCAATGTTTTAACAACTAATTCGACGACAATCCATTTTTGCTTACATTCGGTCTGTAACGTAAAAGCGCCAGTCATTTTGCATGGTTGATGAAATACTTGCAAGTCCGCATGTGCATCTACTAAGCTGGGTTCGGTGAGATTATTGCATTCTCATGTGCAACTCTGCTTTATTTTGCAAGATATTCTCAATTTTAGGCTTCATTTTCCACCCTCTGATGTCAAACAAAAAAAATCTGTTGATCATTTTATAATGGCTAATATAATAGAAGAGTATTTTGTCAGAAACTAGTTATTTTATCATGATCATGTAAAGTCTTTTAAAGTTATTTTGTTGATGTATATAGTACTTAAAAATATTTGAGTGCTTAAAAAGTACTTAAAATCTGCCTATCTTTTGTTGAAAGATTTGACTGGGGGCAAACTTCTTAGTTAATGTTACTGTCTCCAAAACAATGCTGGATAAAGGAATAAAATGCATTTGAAAGTTGTAGAGCATCATTAATTTAATGAAAATTAATGGTAAGAGTGGAATGCTTTTGTGTATTTATGATTTCCTACACAAACATGTGAGGAAACTATCTCGGGAAGAAAAAAAAAACTAATCATCAAAGTACAAAGCTTAAGGTAAGTGTTTGACACTGAAAAAAAAGAAAAAAAGCTAACATGGGAAAAAATGTGACAATTTCTAGTCAAACAAAATGTATTAATATTTTTTGAATAGTTTTAGCTATTATTTGTGTAATTTAAATTTTCTGCTTTTTATTTCAGGCATATTTGTGGGTCTCATCCTTACTTATAGTAGTTACTGTTTTGTAGCGTGTCTTTTTACATTTTTCTTCACATCATCGAAAGCAACACACTTTCATTCAAGTAGAAAAAAGAAGCTTGAGGTTAACTTTAAAGAAGGTATGCTCAATATAATTATGCATTGTTGGTTTATGCCGACCAATAACCATCTCTATTAATGTGATTTATAATAACGAACCAAGGCTTCTTTTTAGTGAAAGTGTATGTAACAAACATGTATGTTACAAATTTAAAATAACAAATGTGCTGTATTTGGAGAGAAAAAAACTATTCTTTAATTGAACATGTAATAATATTTTAATGTAATATTATTATGGGTGATATTCTGGCATTTTGTTGGGGGGAAAACGCACTAAATATTTCTGTCTTTGCCTTTTGTAAATAATCATCACAATAAAAAAATAATTAAAAATCATGAAATCCGTTTCCTGAAAAGAAAAAGAAAAAAAAAGACCGACAACGAAATCACGCGAATCGGACTCCTAAAAAAGGGGGGTTACTCAAATGCGTGTTTTATTTCGAGATTAGGTTGTTGTAAAAAATGATACAGTATTAAAAATATTGAATTTAAAAGTTTTGGAGAAATCAGGAGCAGAAATAATCTGTCAAAAATTCGATAGAATCGTAGCCTTAAAAAGTAAATACTCAAATGCAGAATTCGAATTTTCCATATAGTTTGAAATATATCAGGATGTTTAAAAGCCACATGAAAATCAATATTAATAACTGACGAAAATTCAATCGAAACAATACAACGATTTGCAATACTATCAACGTACATTGAGCGCATAAAAAAAGTAATTATCTAAATGCAAGATTCAAATTTTACATGTAAATTTCTGTAGAAAAGAAAGCGAAAAACATTTCTGCTGGAACACTGTAACGTACTGCGACAAAGTCGCGGTGTCACTCCGATTCTACCACGAGACACTAAACTCTTGTCCTTTCGCAGAAAGTGTTCAAAACTGTGACATACTTTGCAGAACAGTTTAGGTGTCGAAAGAACAATTAATGTTCGCACTTGTTCAAGTTATGATGAAACTTTTATCGCCTGTTAATTTTATTCTCTGTATCGGAAGTTATACATATTAATGTAAATTATGATAATGAATCATAGCGTCTTTCTAGTGAAAGTCCATTGTTTTGACTGTGAAAATTACACTATACTATATTCCTTTAGCAGAAATTGCTTAAAACTGTGACATACTTTGCAGAACTTATAAGGAATCTGAATTGTATTGGATTATTAAATGCTTTTTGATATTTTCCGAATCTCTTTAATCTGTTAGTAGAGAAGCTTCTTTAATGCCTTCAGATGTTATTACTGTAGATTTGAAGAAGGCTGACTTCTTCCTGATACTTCTCCAAATACAAAAATAATCAAAATATATAAAAAATGACCTAAAATGAAAAAAAAAATCTCAACATTTGAAAAAATGCCTGAAAATGACAAAAGTGTTCAAAAATGTATGTGTCATCAAAGTCTGATCCTTAGTGATCACATTAAAAAAATTTGTAAACATGTTACAAGTTGTGGTGTTTTCATGTTTATTTGAAAATTTATTTGTGATATTTTAATGAGCATTAAAAGTCATTGTGAGTAGCGCTTTAAAAAAGTGCTTAAAGGTGCTTAATTTTCCCTTTTTGAAAATGAGATTTTTCTTTACCATTTTGATTTTCCTACCACGTATTATGTAAAATCCTGCTTTTCACATTGGTCTATTCAACCTTTTCACAATTCATTCAGCCACAATCCATTTTGACATACCGTCGATTCATAGCACATGAAAGCACCAATCATTTTACACGTTCGATGAAATACTTGCGAGTCCGCATGTGCGTCTACTGAGCTGGGTTCCGTGTGATTATTGCACTCTCATGTGCAACTCTGCTGCATTCTCAATTTTGGGCTTCTTTTACCACCCCCTGATATCGAACCGAAAAATCTCATTAGCATTTTGTAATGTCTAATGTAATCAAGAACACCCAATGGCTGAGTGGTAGCGCTTCACGCTCCCGGTCCACAGATCCTGGGTTCGATCCTCGGGTCGATAAATGAGTACTAAGCATGCTTGGGAACTAAGCACTGGGGGTTGCATGTTCCGCTGACCACTTGACCGGAGCATCTTCTCCTGCACCCCAGAGCCCAAGGTCAAGAAAACTGAGATGGGCACAATAGGCCTTGGCCCTCTATGGGCTGTCGCTCCTCTGAGTTTAGTTTAATGTAATCAAGATAAGAGTTGTTTGTCAGACACTAGTTATTTTATCATGATCTTGTAAAGTCTTTGAAAATAATATTGCGTTTTGTTAATGTATATAGTGCTTAAAAGTATTTCTGAGTGCTTAAAAAGTACTTAAAAGGTGCTAATTTTTTTTTAAAGATTTGTCTATGCACCCTTAAAATGTATTTGTGTCCAAATTGTTTCTTGTCACCTTGTAATTGTTTTGTTCTGTTGAAATTGTCGTAGGTGGACAACGAAATTGGATACAAGTTGTATGCAATGGAGGCACAGCTACAGAAATTGCCCTCATTTATATGTTAAATGGTGGATGTGGAGAAATTCCGCTAGATTTTAATAAAAATTATCTTCGCTCTTGGCTTGCGGCAGCAGTGCTTTCAGCTTTGGCTAGTGCTAATGGAGACACTTGGGCATCTGAGTTATCCATCTTGGCCCAATCAAAACCAAGGTTAATAACAACATTCCAAAAGGTTCCGATAGGTATGTATTCTTTTAATTTACAATATATTAAATTGTATGTTTTTAATGTTTATGTTCTAATATTGTATTTGTTATTTTGTTGAAATTTTCCTTTTTTGTTTATTTATTTTCTTAAAAATAAATCCATGTTACATACCTGCCAAGCCTCCTGTTTTTTAACGAAGACTCCTGTGTTTTAGGATTATCTTCTGTTTATCCGTATATTCTGAAATTTCTCCGTATTTGTTGAAGAAATTTTTATTTTAAAAAATTGGCGACAAAATATCCGCTGATGGCAAATAAACTTCTTATTCCTCAACAAATGCTGCTGTTGCCAGTACTGTGATATGTTAAGTGCTTATAGTTTAAATAATAATAAATAATGGTTTGAAAAATCTTCTTTAGATTAAGATTTTTTACTTTGCTAAATGTAAGTGCTTATATTATTTCAATTTTAAATTTCTCTTTTCGGCTTATTTCTCCTTTCGACTTTTTTAAGTATTTTTCTTAATTTTATGCTTTGTAATTTTAAATGCAAAATTTGAGCCAAAACAATCGAATAGTTCTTGAAGTAATTTACTGTTTTTTGATTCAGACACTTTTAAAATGATTTATCTCCATTTTTTTTTGGGGGGGGGTCATTTAAAATTACACAGTTAATGATAATGATGTGAACATTTTTTACACTTAACTATTCAAAAAAAAATTTTCCTTTATTATTTAAAATAATATTAAATAAATAATAAAAATTATTTTTTGTGTGGAAACTTTTGGATAATTGAATTTTATAATTATGTATGAAGTATTTTCAGTTCACTTATATGATTTTTGATTTATTACAAAATGCACAAAAAGTTAAATGAACATTAAATGGCCCAAACATTTTGGTCACTCTCCTGACTAAACTATGGAGATTTTATTTTTCCGATTGATCTTACCCCCATATTTTGATGATTAAAAAATCTAATTCTGACAAAAAAGACTTGTTTATTGAGAGAAAGTACAGCAGGGTTCCCACGGGTAAGGGAGAACAGAGAAAACCTGGAATTGTCAGGGAATTTTATTTCAACTCCAAAGATCGGGAAATAGTCAGGGAAAGTTACAATTTTTTTTAGAAAAACCGGGAAAATTAATACATTATACCTGGAAACAGGGTTCATACTCCTCCTGAAATTCCTGAAAAACTCCTGAAATTAGCTTTTTTTTTCTAAGGGCCCTTATAACTCCTGAAANTAACAGTACTCAGTTATTGAGATTCGAGTTAAATAATTCTAGCACCTATAACAATTATTTATTGTAAAAGTTTCACATTTTAGACAAACTGAAATGCTTTCTTCCTCATATAATGATCTTCATTTTACACAGAAAATCTAAAACTTGGCATAACAAATAAAAGAATCAAAGTTTTCTGATGAAAAATTTCGTAGTACAGATAAAATATGGTATAGATTTTCATTGAAATAAATTTACCTGATATACCTGGAAAAGTCAGGGAATTTTTTTTTTCTGAAATTGAGTGGGAACCCTGGTACTGTTTCATCTCTTAATTTAATTATCATTATATATGAGGTCATTATTATCAGCAATCATCAGCATATATGAGGTCAACCTTTCGAACAATAAGATTGATACTTATTATTTTTGATATTGTAATATTACTGTTGATACTTAATTATTATTGATACTTACTACGATGTAACTATGAAACTATGATATTTGTTGATTAATTTTTGTCTTTTAATATGTTTATTTTATTTTACAAGGGTTCTAATTAATATATATTTAGGGAAGTTAAAAAATTAAAATGTTATGTTTTTTGCAGGGACTAATGGTGGCGTGACTTCTATTGGAGTTTTGTGCAGTGCCTTTGGGGGTCTTTTAGTTGGACTGTCTTATTTTGTAACACTGTTCTCCACTGTTCCTTATTTTTCTGTTATTGAACAAGCTGTGCTTTCAGCATTTATTGGAATAAGTTCTGGGCTTTTTGGTTCCTTCTTGGATTCCCTCCTTGGTGCAACATTACAATATTCTGGTACAGTATTTTTTTTTTAATGGCCTACTTTTGTCTGTATTATTTTTTTGTTTTATTTTTCTGTGTGTAGTGTATCTACCACTACAAAAATATAATTCCAATTCACTAGTATATAAGACATGTTAACTCAATTCTATGGTGGGGTACTTTTTCATGTATGACGGTTGACATGGTCGATAACTACTCACTCCCCACAAGTGTTTTTTTTTTTTTTCCAGTGCTAATGTTGTGAATATATCCTAGTTAATACTTCAGAAACATAGGTACTGACTCTAAAATGTGAAGAAATACTGGCTATTTTTGAAAGGAAAATGCTCTGAAGTAATCTAAAAGGAATACAAAATGTTGGAATTGGTATAGAGGAGCCAATTGGCAATTGTATAAGATTTATAAAGAACCAAACATTGTGATTAAAATGCAAAGATTAAAGTTGGGACACCTAAAGTAGGACACCTCATCAGAATTTAAAGAAAACAGGAGAATCAAAAAGGTTTTCATGGACAAATAATAGGGTGTACGATAAATTGATTCTACGAAATCTTAAAATTAAAACAAGGGCATCAGATAGGTTAATATGGAAATCTGTTCTTAAAAAAGCCACACATGATGATTGCCACACTATTGAAGAACATATGTTGTAATTGTTTTTATCAATACTTAACTAATGCTGTGATTATTTTTTTTTCAATAGTAAATAATGTTTTAAACAGTTCTAACTAATGTAGTTAATGTTTTTATTTCTAATGCTAATTAATGTTGTAAATTTTTTTCAGCGTAACTAATGTTGTTATAAAAAAAATTTCCAGTGCTAAACAATATTTCTGAGTGAAATTTTTCCCCTCAAATGCAAATGTGAATTCGAGAAAGGAAAAGCAACTTTTCTATGACATAATCTCAAAAAGGTCTATATTGTTTGACAGATATAATTGTTATTGAATATTTTTATCTATTGCCAGTAAATGAGAAGTGAAGGAAACAGAGGATAAAAGAGAGCAAGTCAGTCAATCCAGACACATTCATTCTTAATATCTATCTTGTAGAGTAGATTATAGTTATATTTATGTCTATCTCTTATAGATAGATAATTAGATAGTTAGCTAATTAAGATAGTTATATATATATATATATATACTTAAGATAGTTATATCTATCTTATAGATAGTTTTCCAACCAGAAAATGGTCCTATCTCTTCTCCTATACATTTATGGCTCATTGTATCGATTCTAATGAGTTGTTGTTTAATTATTTTGTTTCCATGCATTCATTATTATTATCTTTTCAATATTTGCATTGTTATCTGTTTTCCCGGAAATGACTAAAGATTTAAAAATTCAATCAAAGAAATATGGGAGGAAATAAAAATGTACAGTTTGTTGCAGTCTGTTGAAGAAATAGTTGCAAAGTTTGTTAACAGATAGTGCAGTGCTAACTGGGACAATGCTATCAAAATAGTCACAATTTTTTAGAAGCAATGTGACCCACTCTGAAGACAAAATTAATAATTAAAATGCAAATATTTCAGTTGTTTTTATAGTTTTTCTTATCGTTAACACCATCTTTTGATGAACTTGGTAGCTAATTTTGAAACTCACTGAAAACTTGGTTTCCAAATGCAGAAATTTCATATTTCTTTCTCATTCCATTTTTCTTTAATTGAATTTTCAAATCATCAGTCACTTTTAGGACACTTTATCTAACACCTATCAATATCTTTATTTTTTTTTTTTTGCTTTTTGGTATGTATAAAATTAAAATATAAATTATCCAAATAAATATTTCATCTACTTCTTTTTCTCTTTTAATTTCCATTTTAAAAATCTAAATTTTGGTCCTGTGAGCCTTGTGCTTTTTGTCTTAACTTTAAGCTCTTTAATGATTAAGCATTTCATTGAACTAAAATAAAACAAATAATCCAACAATTATGAAGACTTCATAATTCAATTAAAAAAATAATAATAAATAGTGATCTCTTTGTTGCGATCACTGGTTACCCATTGATCAAATGCTTTTGCTTTCTGGTCTGACTCTGATAAACGCCACAACATTTCAAATCATGGTTGCAAAAACTGTCTCAATTGATGTTTGTCGTCGGATTGGTTTTCAAATCCTGCCTATGTAGTCGTCAGT